GATACGATGACATGCATCAACTAAGTCAGCGAGCCTGACCACCCGATCCGGTTAGTCGCCTCTTATGACAAGCATAGTCGCCTTTTACGCCAAGCATGGGTTGCTGAAGACCTATTCTACCACCCATAAGAGCGTAACATGTACATATAAAGAATAGTTTAAGTATTTTCATTTTTGTCCCGTGACTCTTTCTTGATTCGCGTGGTCTGCCGCGAGTCTGAGCCGGACCACCCGATCCCATTAGTCGCCTCTTTAAGACAAGCATTGTCGCCTTTTACGGCAAGCATGGATTGCTGAAGACCTCTACTGACCCGGATTCATTTTTTATGAAATATATACAATATCATTCATATTGTGCGCCTTTCCATCCGCCATCTTGCTATTTCCCTTACCCTCGAACCATGTACTGTAGAAGAAACCTCGTGTTCACTTCATTTGAGCTGGCCCACGTGCCCTTGAGAATACCCTTGAGTGAAATGAAGTTCTTGGGGACATCAGGTGAGTCAGTTCCGCGAACATGGTTGGCCATACCGTTCCCCACCACACGCGAAGAAGGTCTCTTTTGGTTTGTCTTGACCCTAGACCCTAAACTTGGTTACTGTCACATCATTTCTTTGTGCAAGATGCCATGGCAACCATTTGAAAATTTGTCGACAAAGCTTTTAGCATGATATGTAAGTTCTGTCGTAATTGAAACGTGCAATCTACCATGTGGCCTAACAACGATCTGCCGCGACAGTTAATTGGTTAGTTCAGGACTTTGTGTGGTTTTATTCCCATCTTGAGACCAACCAATCTATTCCTTGCGTCAACATGTAATCAAATTGAACATTTTGGCAATCGTGTTATCTGGAAAGAAATATTGTTTCTCAACAGGCTATATTGGAGCCCCGACACTGATGTGACATGTGTGAAGCCTTCAGGGTCTGCTCTGAGTTCACTTGAGTTCAACTCGCTCTCTCCGTCCAAAAAAATTGAAAGAAGGAACATGGTACCGAACTATCGGTTCTCGACTCAAACGAGGAAGAATATGTTCCCTAAGACACAACCGGTAGTGAAGCCTGGCCTTTGGTTTCTTTTTCACTGGCAGTAATGGTCTCAGAAGGGACGTAAATCCATCTTTCTAATCGTCATATACTGGAGGAGGAATACTTTTGAACAGACCCATCAATCTTCAACACCCACGAGGGGAAATGTCCCTCTGAATTCAACCGGAAGTGATGTCACCACTCGCATAGCTTCAGCTTTTTTCGGTTGGCATCACTGGTTGCTGCTCAGAGGTCTTGACAAAAACGTGAGGCGTCTCTAATGGGACATGGATCTTGGTTGATTATTGCTGAACGTGTTGACAACAACGGTTCGTATCCACACACCACACAAGCCCCACTCCAACCCTTCCCCGCCCTCACCAAAGTCACCCATTGTCAAACTACCTCTGTAGACATTTGAAATAACGCCATGTCTGTCAGACCTACATGTAATCGGTTTCTGTTAGTGACACGGTTTCTTCCTTTTTATTAGGGGAAATGGGGTTTAACGTTGCGTTCAAAATTATTGCACTTATATAGAGCTACGTGAGTGTGTTTGCAGCTGCTTGTACTAGTCAGGACTAATGTCCATCTTATGGCACTAGCCAACCATTTAACATGGATAGAGGGGGCACGGGTGGCCCAGTCGTCTAAGGCGCCGCGATTCGCTGTGCAGAGTTGCGTCCCTTGGGCACGCCAGAAACCTATGATTGTGGGTTCGAATCCCGGTTCGCCCCGATTATGTTTCTCGGTTTGTCAGCACCATACCCGTGCTCGTGGGTTTCACCGAAGTAGTAAACGTCTGAGACCTGCATCACTTCGGGCTTTCCTCCCACATCACTTCGGGCTTTCCTCCCACATTAAGCTGACACGATATAACTGGAATACTGTTAAAAGCGGCGTTAAACCCAACTCACTCACTCACTCACTTTAACATGGATAGTATTGGATACACCACTCCGACACAATTTACTGACTCCGGACCGACCAGTCCTTGTTTTATCCCCTCAATGTCAGTACGCCAGACAGGGTAACAACAAGTACCATCTTCTGATATATTTTGGTATGACACGGCTGGGAATCGAACCCCGGACCTTCCGTTCTACCGCGGACGTTCTAACCCTCTAGACCACGTGGATGATGCACAGGACAGTGCCACTGGAGAGACGATCTTGATGCTACATTAACCAATAAAGAAACTCTTGTAGGGGAGTATTCCGAATTGCATGGAACGCTACTAAAAGGGGACAAGGTTTAGGACTAGATTGTACCATGAGCTCATATTGGATGGCATCCTGAACATCGGACATTAAACCTCCGAGGGAATGGGGAAATCACATAAATTGGACAGTGGTGGGTGGTATCGCTGCTAGATCGCGTTGATTAATAATCTTGGTGACTGGAATCCTCAAACTGGTCTTCACAGCAAGCCCTCAGTAGAAGACGCTGACAACAACGGCCGTTAGGGTTCCTCCAAATCTTTCTCTGAATGTGATCGATAAAATGCTCCTACCATCATTTACTCCAACCTATAGATGTAAATTGATTTTTTCCCTCGTTTTATTGGAATCGCGCAGCTTTTTATTTGTTTCTTGTGGAACCATTTATGGAGCGTTGGCTGAAAAACATTATCCTTATTTCGCAACCGTTTCCTGTGTTCTGCAACGTGTAAATCCCGTAATGCTTAAATTAAGGTCGTAGTTAAGAGTCGTATTTTCCAAAATCTAAAATATGTGACAAACTTTTGTCCCAAATATGACATTTGTTACGTTTGACCACGTTCTAAGTGTGTTCATGTTCTCAAATAGTAATTATTATTAATTTTGCTGGAGGGGCATATCCAACGTCATCTTGTCGTTAAACACCAACTCAGCAATAATCCAGCTATATAATCTCGTCTGACCAGAGGGGGGCACGGGTGGCCCAGTCGTCTAAGGCGCCGCGAATCCCTTGGGCACGCCAGAAACCTATGATTGTGGGTTCGAATCCCGGTTCGCCCCGATAATGTTTCTAGGTTTGTCAGCACCATACCCGTGCTCGTGGGTTTCACCGAAGTGGTAAACGTATGAGACCTGCATCACTTCGGGCTTTCCTTCCACATTAAGCTGACACGGCGTGATATAACTGGAATAATGTTAAAAGCGGCGTTAAACCCAACTCACTCACTCGTCTGACCAGAAAATCCAGTGATTGACATCATAAACATCAATCTACGCAATTAGGATACGATAACATGCATCAACCAAGCCAGCGAGCCTGACCGCTCAATAGTCGTCTCTTACGACAAGCATGGGTTGCTGAAGACCGAAGTCTCACCCGGATCTTCACGGGTATCAAACGTCGTCTAACCGGAAGCAGCCATGAGGAGGTCTTGTCGTGATATATGGGGACAGGTCATTAACGTTAAATCGCCCTTCCAAAGCAAAACATTTCTGCAAACCTACACAAACTCTCTATGTAAAAGTGAAGGTGACAACAATCAGGAATTGTATTCTGCAGTCTTCCACAACCAGATGAGGCAACAGGTCCCCGAGGACCAAGCTAAGACCCTATATGGCAAAGGTATCCCCTCTTAACACCAGTTTAGAAAACGTGCCATTCAGGACTTAGTGGTGTTTTCCCATGACAAGATGCCTTAATGAACGGCAAGACGGCAATAACGATGTCTTGTGTGGAGGATGAAAAGTAATAGTCTGGTAATAGTTTCTAGAAAGAAATGATGACTTTACAACAAGCCCTGGCCAGATAATTGACGTTTGGACGCTCTCCCATACAACCTGCTACAGTAATCTTAGTGTTAGCCCTTGGCCCAACATAATCTTCTTACGAGGTCCAAAATAGACCAAACGTCACCTAAACTGTAACAATGGAATCTCACTCCTAGGCTTGTTCAGAGCTGGGAGGTCGAACGATTACGTCCAAAGTCATCCGTCAAGGTCGGTAATACTAAATTACCGTGATTGCGACCATCAGCGTTTCCCTGCCGCGGGCGGGCAAATGGCGTTTGTTTGTCATTGCCTTGATTGCTCCCCTTTCTCCGTCCGTGATATGTGGGTCAGGCCTGCGAATCGCCACAACCGGGACGACGGACTGGGGCCCTATCGATCTGTCGCACCATCGTTCCTCGGGTACCGAGAGAGCTATGATCGACAATGGCATCACATGCACCGCTGCATCGTTCACTCAGCTCTTCATCTCCTTTAACATCGATCACTTCTGGAAATGGGACGTTTTACTCCCTCGTTCACCTCTATTCTGTTGTAAATTCTGGCTTTTAGAGCGCGGAAAATGATTGCGAATGTATACGAAAGAAGGTTTGCAAAGAAACCGCCGCACTTTCTTGATTGACACGCTGACTAACCTCGTCTTATTGGCGAGTAAATTGTACTTCGGTTCCACGCATATTGTATTGAGAGTTGTTGTATTTCTTAAAAGGGGTCGTAATTAAGATACTGCCAGAGTTGAGTCTGAATTGAAGCTCCATGGCACAAGCCGATATGGAGCGGTAATTATATTTATTCCGCTTAAGCAATTAAAACTTGGTTAAAAAGAGCATATTTTTGTTATGAGCCCAGAACGATCTGGTGAGGAGTTTTTGTCAACTAATCCCTCATGTAATTCTCGTCTGGGTGATTTCCACGACACCTCGTTAAGTTTATTACCAAGGAGACGGGTAGTCCTTTTTAGTTTTAGCCGTTATTTTCAATAATCGTTATGTCTATCAATATCGGCGTGGGGTGATGTAAAAATGTTAGTTCCTCTCACAGAGGAACGGGCTGGAGACTTGACGGCTAATTCAGGAAATAGAATAGGTTGTTTTGCTTTGCTTCAAGTGCAAACGATGAGTTTATCAACTGCTGGGTTTTCTCACACAAGCGGGTGTTGTTTAATGGAGACCGGAGTTGACGTAAGCCATAACATTTACATGATGTACTTTTAGCACGAGATAATTTTTTCAAATATTTTTTTCAGGATTCTCGGAGAGAAATATGTGTGGCGAAGAGCTCAACGTCTTCACTACCAAGGTTGGTTTACATTTAATTTCTTATACAAGATAAGGGCCATTTGATCCATTTTGTCAGCCCCAATGGAGGATAAATTGGAACACTTTCCATAAATACTATAGCCATCATTAGGGTAATTCGTTCCAGCTCACGAGCCCAAACCTGGAATAATCAATCGACATAAATACATACATTATTGTTCGTTATACATTAACTGCAAACTACCTTTAGTAATCTCGATTTGGACAATTGTTTGTAATGAACTGGCATGCAGCCATGGCATTAAAACGGAAGATGTAATACATCACTGTTCAGGAACTTCGTAGGTTTATAGCCCTGAACGAGTATTGCCAATAGTTAACATTTACATACAGTAGCCCATTAAGACAAGGGAGTCCAGGTCCCTTGACATTGAGGAACAAAAGGCACGTGCTGAGTGCGTTTATATATGTGTGTGTCTGTATGTTCGTGTGTCTGTGTTTGTGCCAGAAGTCATGTGTTCAATATTGCCTACACCCAATAAATTTAATTCTGACTTTGTGAAACTTTAATCCTACAGTTTTCATAAAAAATATCTCCAGAAAAAGGGTAAAATCCCATCCCTTGGGCGGTCTCATTCTGAGGAACATACCCTTTGTGTATCCTTGACCAGGGCACAGGCTTTCAGCTGATGATCCAGGAACATGGATACTTGGTATTTGTTTTACAAATTAAGAATTCTTTGAAGTGGACAGATATGATATAAAACCAAGCATCGTATCCATGGTGACTGTAAAATACACGCTCAGATGGACTTTATAGCAGATAAATCGGTTTTGAGGTTATGAAGCCACTGCAATCGAAATTAGACTCTTGTGAAAAATTAGCCAATTTAAAGTTTCGATTACAGTAGTGGTGGGCGCATTGGAATTGTTCCAGCTGTGTATTTAACATTAGCTCTTTCACCTGAATACTAAATGCCGGTTCTTGTAGTTTGGAATTTGTTCACATGAAAGATCTGTAAAGTCACATGATGGTATTTAAATCAACAAAACAAATTTGATTGTTAGTTTAACGCCAGTGCTATTTGCTCATCATTGAAGCTGATATTGAACACTATCATATTGGAAATATCTCCATCTTAATGGCTTCCTGGAACCGAGCTGAGATTAATGATGAACTTTAGAAAACATATCGTGTGACATTCATACTTGTAACATGACCCTCCATTTCTTGCTTGTGGTCTTCAAGAAATCTGTATTTATGCGATGCCTTTTCTTGGAGAAACAAGGTTAACAATAGTTGGATGCTTGGCATTTTCAATCTGGACACCGATTCACCTAATCTATTGATTTGTCAGTGTGGGTGAATTGTTGCAGACATTGACTCTCTGTTTCCTGTTTCAGGCCAAGGATGTGCTCGTCTGTTATTCCGCTTGCTACTTCTCTGCCCTGCTGGTGGTCGTAAGCTTGGTAGGTGTTACCATGGTTACAAGACAATAATGGAATTGCTTAGTAACCATTCCTTTTGGACCAATCATTTATTTAATGACAGATTGTGTTGAATGTGGGTAAATATTTGCAAGTGAGATTGATCATAAGTGGATTGCGTATTTATCTTATTGCAATTCAGAATGACAAGAATAATCTATTCACTTCAGATCAAGAGAGCAAAGGTGTAACAAAGCACCAATTGTAGAGATTCCTTTTCCAAATCCAAGCTGTGGCCTGAGGCTGAAAGAGACAGATTAGATGTACATAATACTCCTGACAGCTCTGGCTGTCACATGTGTGATATCCTAACATAAGGGCCCTGTTATCTTTATCACCTGCCCCAATCGAGGATAAATTTAAGTAGCATTGAGTAATCTTGTACAGGGAAGACTGTTAGTGTTACGGAGTGTATTACAAAGACTCTCCTCTGTTTGGTGCTGCATCTTCTGGCCCAATGAAGAAAGTAGCGATTCCATCCTTTTCAATTACTCTGACTTCAAGCATTTCCAGACTTAATGTATTTATATTCCACCTTTCTGAAGCTAATCGTATATCCAAGTTCAAACCTGAATGTCGTTCATTTGATGATGAAAGAGGTAAATTGTGCATTAGCGTGAGTGAGTTTGGGTTTCGGGCCATTTTAACAGGCTCTAGTTGTATCAAGATGTCTCAGCTTGGGGAAGCTGGAATTGATGCAGGTCTTAGATTTTTACCATTCAGTGAACCCATATGGCACTGAGAGGTCAATGATTATAAGCTGGCCAATGTGAGGTTTAATCTATGCCATTATCTTGTAAGAGGCGACTAACGACTAACGGGATCGGGTGGTCAGGCTCCCTGACTTGGTTGATGCATTTCATCGTATCTCAATTGCATGGATCGATGCTCATGATGTCAGTCCCTGGATTGTCTGGTCCAGACTCGATTATTTACAGACCGCTGTCATATAGCTGGAATATTGCTGAGTGCAGCGTTAAACAACAAAGGAACAAACATTATCTTGGAAGCAAAGGAATGATGTACATTTGGAATGTTTGGGGGACCTAGATTGCATTTGCATTCTTTGTTTCATTTTTGAATTTTATGAAATACCCAATTATTACAAAAGTTCAAATATGTAATTTTACCAAAAATCCTGTCTCTTACTGCCATCTGAAAACTCTGAGCCACTCCTCAGCTCACCTGGCCCCAGACTGTTCATCACCACTGACAGTAGAGTGTCCGATACAGGGGTCAATATTGGCTGATTTGGGATGCAATTACCTTACAGGACTTCAAAGAGCATTTGGTCAATGTGTAATAATATGATTATTGTGCTAGACACATGGCAGGGCCTGCCTCTATTGACGTAGCCACTGAATCAATACATATATCTGCACTTAGACCTTATGGATATGATACAGATGATTTATATCATTGGTAATTGCTTTCGATAAATGGTTCATTCTACAATTACTCTCACGATCTGTCTCTTCATACAGCTTTAATGTATATTGGAGAAGGACTATACCAATTTTTTATATGATATATTATTTGGCATGACAGTTGTCTCTCCACAGATAGGTCTGCAATAAGTCTGCAATAAGTCAGCAATAAGTCTGCAATAAGTCTTACAAAAGTAAAAGACACAACAGTATAGACCACTGGGGTATTGGTAACTCCATATTCGGTATTGGTAACTCCATGTAGTATATTAGTAACTCCATGTAGGGTATTGGTAACTCCATGTAGGGTATTGGTAACTCCATATATGGTATTGGTAACTCCATGTAGGGTATTGGTAACTCCATGTAGGGTATTGGTAACTCCATGTAGGGTATTGGTAACTCCATATATGGTATTGGTAACTCCATAGATGGTATTTGTATCTCCATGTAGGGTATTGATAACTCCATATATGGTATTGGTAACTCCATGTAGGGTATTGGTAACTCCATATATGGTATTGGTATCTCCATGTAGGGTATTGATAACTCCATATATGGTATTGGTAACTCCATGTAGGGTATTGGTAACTCCATATATGGTATTGATAACTCCATGTAGGGTATTGGTAACTCCATATATGGTATTGGTAACTCCATGTAGGGTATTGGTAACTCCATATATGGTATTGATAACTCCATATATGGTATTGGAAACTCCATATATGGTATTGGTAACTCCATATATGGTATTGGTAACTCCATGTAGGGTATTGGTAACTCCACCTGTGGTATTGGTAACTCCATATATGGTATTCGTAATTGCATATATGGTATTGGTAACTCCACCTGTGGTATTGGTAACTCCATATATGGTATTCGTAATTGCATATATGGTATTGGTAATGCCACCTGTGTTATTGGTAACTCCATATATGGTATTGGTAACTCCACCTGTGGTATTGGTAACTCCACCACTTTGGTCTGATTATACGTTGACAGAGTTTTGAGATACATGAGTGAGGACAATATTATTGAAAGAAATTTCACCATAGAAACCTTCCTATTATGCAGGTTTAAGCTCATACACAGTTCTTGATCTCCTTATTTGAAATTTCCACCAAATTCTGACCTGCCTTCTCCTTGTTCCAGATCCATTTCCTGATCTCGATCAGCGCTAACATCACTCACCTGAAGGACAACCGGTTCGTCACGCTCAACGCCTACGAGACTGAGGAGCATTCCAAACACTCCGTCCTTGACACCAACATGTAGTCACGCCCAACAGTGGTTGGATAGAGTGCAATATTTTTCAAAAGAAACTTTACACCGTGCCTGAGACCTGAGTGCACCATCAACAGCTGCAGGCTCTAGGGGGGACATAGCAATAACAAGCCAGATGGGAGCAGCTTGGGGACCTACAGCAACACCACAGGAACATATTGGAGGAGGTCCTTGTGGAACATATTGGAGGTCCTTGAGAACATATTGGAGGTCCTTTTGAAACATATTGGAGGTCCCTGAGAACATATTGGAGGTCCTTGTGGATGACATTGGAGGTCCTTTTGGAACATATTGGAGGTCCTTGAGAACATATTGGAGGTCCATGCTGGAACATGCTGGAAAAGCTAGACGTGCTAGTGGAGTGCCTAGAAGTGCTTGTGGAATATTTGGGTGCATCTAATAGTGCTTGTGGACCATCTGGCAGCATCTAGAATTGCTTGTGGAGGATCTGGTAACATCTAGTGCTTGTTAAACATCTCGAGATCTTTGTGTAACATAGTGTTAAGGACTTTGGCATTGATGGATCTCATGGCATATCTGGTCCTTGTCATACATCAACAGGACTTTGATCCAACATAAAATCTATAGTGCTTCATACATATGCTTGTGGGTGGAGGTAAAGGTAAAAAGAAGGATATTGTTTCAAGAAGAGACCTACTTCAGGATCATAGAAGGTCCATTTGTGCTGTCTGGACCATGGACATTTAGTGAAGCCCGTAAACCTTTGTTTGTCTTTTTAAGAAATATCTTGAGGTCTACTTAAGAATATTTGGCAGTTGTGTGGAACTAACCCTTTTGGGTTCTGTTCAAAATCATTTACAGAAAACATTGCCTATGTGGATGTCCCCCAGTACATGGAGGATGGAGATCACTTATGATCAGTTCATGGACATTAAAGGAAGGGTACCAGGATTTTATAACATTACCTTTACGTTACTGAAAAGGCTAAGAATGATACTTTTATGCACAGACCGAAACAGGTTTTACAAGAGAAATGCCAAATGAAACCAAATCTATTTTGAATGACTATCCAAGACGATTGGCCACTGTGGTCATCCAGGAAATTCTGCCTGCAGCACTGTATGTGAATTATATGTGCCAAGACAATGTACAGGTCCTACAGGACCTTACCACCTCTTCATACGACCATCAACACACCTCCACCGGACTGCACTGGAATCAGACATCTTGACATTCATCTGCTCCCAAGTTGTCCCCCTTTTCGTGGGATCAAAGAGCTCGTCTCTATCAACCCACTCATGTTCATCCCGACACAGGTCAAGGTCAAGGTCACGGTGACAGAAGTCAACCTGCACAAAAAATCAGTTCCGCTGATGACTCTTATATGTGACCATTTTAACTCCACATTTCCATACAAGTGTTTTCTATGTCTGTAGGCTGACTTACATGATGTTAGTGCTTGGCGTGATCGGCCATTTTGTTCTAGTTTCTTGAATGGTCCTGTTGATACTTTTGCTCAACTTGCCAGCAGACTTTTCTCCAGAAATACTCAAATCTGATGTGGGACGCATCTCCAAACGAGGACTCTATTACCCAAGAATCATTGTGCATGGTTTACACTGAAACACGACGTGAGAATCGGAGATTGTTGGTATCAGGGCAGCATATGGATGCCTTGTTTTTTTAACAGATTGTTGACAGTAGAGGAAATGCTATCACTAGTCATGCTGTTTCTGTTTAATCTGCTGTCTCCGTGTTCATGTAGCTGAGTCTATTGTTCACATTATCCAAGTCTACATGTTATTGTATGCCAAACCTATACAGCATGTGCCTATATACCCAGCTTAATTTGCCCATAAAAGAAATCCGGAAAGCTAACTTGAATCAATGAAACCTGATGTAAATAGGTGCTATTTATACTGACCAAAATCTGAAAGCATAGAAATAGAAGTGAAAGATATCATTGTTACAAATCCAAACAAAATTGTTCAAACTCTTGCAGGAGCAATACTATAAGATAAACCCCAATAGACGATGGGCCTATGCAAAAAAAAAAAAGTAATGTAAAAAGTTAAGTGTTGTTAATTTTATAAAATGTTCCTGTCTCACGTGTTAGTTATGAATTTTTTATAATGAATATTTAAAAATCAAATAATAAAAAGTGTTAGATTTGCATGAAGTTGAAATTTCAAAAGTTTGGAGTAATTCTGTTTGTTAGATCTCAAATATTTTCTGACTCTTTTCGGCCTCAATTTATCATATTTGAAATAACCTCATCCCAAAAATTAAGCCAGGAATATGAAACTTTAAAACATCTTTCAAGAAATCTAACACTGGACGGTACCGAGCCCAGCCATGAGAATATGAAAGTCAGTGTCACATTATACTAAAACTGTGAACAGCACTTCACAATGAAATGGAATGTGATTTTCAATTATGGAAGATATTGTGCCTATTGTTAGATCTATATTGCTAAAAGAAGCATGGTTATGTGGATTGGGTTTAGTTATTGGTGAGAGGGCCGTTTAGATTGATTGTTAAAATGGGCCCCAGCATTTCATTTTCGAAACTGATTGAATTACCATATTCGACGTAATAAGCACTCAGGGCACTCTCAAAATTAGGGGGCTCTCATTAGAATATTATTTTGATGAGAAAAACAGAGTTGAAAGATAAATTTCGTGGTTTATGTTGACAGCCTGAAGTGTTCATGTACGACAGATATATTTTTCCAGAATTTAATTGCCCATAATTAAGGGTGCATATAACACACAAGTGTGTATTATATGCGAATAAATAAGTCTTGTGTACATTGATCAATTGAAGGGGTGCTAATTGGGATTGTTCACTAGCCAATATATTAGCAAATGTTGCCATGGGTGCTTATTGGAGCGAGGTGCTTATTACGTCGAATACGGTATATTTTGATATTTAAACCAATTTTGATATTAAATTTAGGTTGAAGTGACTATCCACTGCTGATTGGCTATCCTCTCCCCCATATTGGTTCCTTATGCAAAGTTGTTGCTTCTTGCGCAGATGGTTTCCGTGTGGCCAGATATAGAAAACTAATATATGGTCGTATAGATAAGTATTTAAACCGTAACTTTTTATTACAAAATTCTATTTTTCTTTTGCATGTGTAAGTAATAAATATTACTGTAAAATTTCTACTAACATTTTATTATTTACATTTATATGGGCCTAGAAAAAGGATCTTTTATACATGAAACATATTGGTTAGAATGAATGTAAAGTAGATGAAATGGATTTTATATTTATTAATATTTTAACATTTTAGATTGAACAATCTTATGTGAATACTTTTGTCGTGGAATATTTATGAAACATCTGATTTAATAGCGCCATTTATTTATTGAAAAATTATTGTACATATAATGATCAATTATGAATCTCAAGAACCATGTTATCTGTAGGACCTATTTTGTATAATAGCTAGTAGCCTGGCATGTGTATGCCGAGATTAGATTCTGAAAAAGCATGTACAAATTCAGAGTATTTACCGATAGATTTTTGTAATTTATAGAGAATAGAATGAATTTGTTGTTCATTATTCATGTGTAAATAGGATACGCAGTATTAAACTTGAATATTTAGACGAATTTGTAAAAAGTAGGTTCTGATGATAATTAAAAACTTTAGTCATAATAAAATATATTTCTACTTAAACTAGATTTTATACAGATGTTTTCACATCTACTCGTTCATAGCATTTTCACAGTCAAATGATAGCCATTTACAGTGTCAGGAAAGATAGAAGTGTATGTGTATGTGTTCTGCGATAACTACATCAAATGTTTACATGGTAACTTTTTTGAAGGCTTAACAAAAATTCATCCCACCATCTCTCCATCAACACATCATTGACGACACACGAAAATATGAGAAAAGAATTTCAACGAATAGTCATGACATGTTAGAGAAGTAGGTCGACCGAAATATACAACTAGGAATCATGTTTATTTCTTAGTAGAAATTTTACAGCATTTATTTTTATATTTTCCATCCTGTCATGGCACCCTGATATTGTTGGTGTTTTGTAATTTGTATGATATTTGTACTGTTGAGTATTATGACACCATTTATCATTGTTACCATCTCTAACTGTTGTTCACTGATAAGGAGGGCTGCTTTGGTGGGCTACCTGGGATGGAGACCTTGCTCTCATGGCTAGCCTGAATATTCAGGTCTCCTCATTTTGGAGGAGGAGCCAATGATTGATGAGCTTTTAGAATGAATTCAGTTGAACGTGGAGTTTTAATAATTACCAGTGCTTTTGGTTTTACTTTATAATATAGATATGATCACTTAATGATATTTGTAATCCATCTACTTCATGTTAAGATTCTTGTTAAATATTTTTAAAAAAAAGGTGTTTATTGGTATCCAAAATGTGTTTTGGTGTGTTCAAGAATTATCATGTTCATCGAAATATGTTTTTAACAAATGATGTAAAACAAAAGAAAGATGACCTTACATTGTTAAAATTGGTGTTAATAAGAAAGGATCAACCATTCTTTTAAGATGAAAATATTTGATATTTGGATACAGAATATTTGAAGACATTGCCCCATTGTGTCAGTGATGTTGGCCAATGGTTGACAAGCTGAGGATGAGGCATGGTCATTCCGCTAGGTATGTAGTAAGATATGTTTGTGTAGTGTCCATGATGTGATGGTCAGTCTCGGACATGGTCACTTGACATCCTTTTGTCGAACTAAAGACTTCAATGTCATCAGGGAAGAAGTGGTGCAGTGCATTTTCAAAATGGGTTTTGTGAAATATTTAGACTTATTCAGTACAGGTAACAGTCAGTAACTGTGTATGTTTGACATCGCTGTAAATGTCAAATTAATTGTCCCTTTTCATGTTCATATCCATGGTGTTCAAAATGCTGATTTCGTGTTTGTGAATAACTGGCAATTGAATAATAAGTGTTGTTCTTCAACAAAAAAAAATCCAAATTTCAAATAATGAACCAATAAAAACAGAATTTGTATGAAAAGAAGTCCTTAGGATCCTGGTCTGTCTGATTCTTGTTATGATCATAGCTGAAAGATGAAAAATGCCCCAAACTCAATCTAATAACTAACATATTTCGTTTTAGTTAAATTAATCCACAATTTATATCTTACCTATATCCTTATTCAGATTAATTCTCCATACTCACTTTTAGTATGAACTGACAGCCATGACGAAATGTGAACATGGTTAAACTTGGAAATCTCATACCTGCTTTACAGCCAATCAACACCATCCATATTTTGATAATGCACCGTCACATTTCTCAATGGTCTGGTTTAGGTGGTAGAGAGATATTGTTTGACTGCTTGCATCGTTAGTGGTAGCAGTGCTGTTTAGAGCTCGACATTCTATTTTCCCTAATCCTGTTACAGTCAGTTATACCCTGTTATAGCACAGCCGTCAGTATTTCTTGTTGAGGTTGGTTATGTACAAACTTGTTAACTGATGTTTCCAATGTGTAGATGTAGTATTTAGTCTGCAACTGTAGATCTATGCTCAATCATATATATACATACAAAGCTCAAGAAAAAAAAAATCATTAAAAAATTCACTTACAAAAAGATCAACTCAATGTTGTGAGAAAGGAAAAAAAGGTGATTTTTTTCCTGCTCATGGTTGTGGAATGAGACATCACTAAATCAGACATTTTTAATATCCACTAAAATAATCAAAAGAGGGTTATTCCATAGTGTCGGTGTTCACTGTTAATTTAACACATTGATGGTTTTAAATACACGTTATATGATTTAGGCACCAGTACATTGACTGTCATATACAGAGTGGCATAGGAACAAGTAGTATCAGTTTTAAAAATACTAAACAATTAACCTGGATATTTCTATTTTTGTTAAAAAAAAATAATTCAATTTTTAAAAAAATAAACCTGTGTGAAATTGTAATCGAAAATTACCACTGAAAAGCCCAAAAATATGTATTTACCCAGGAAGCAAAAATGGCATGTTACTGAAAAAATATTTAGTTTTCTAGGCAGTTGAAAAAATGTCTTTGGTCTCCTATGCCCGTGTATACACTGTGTTAAATGCACATCCATCATTTCTTGTGCTATGTTTCATAAGGGTCATATGTTTTCATTGTTCATGTTTTTTTTATCTAGAATTGTCTCAAGGTTTCATGTGTTTAAATAAAATCTTATGAATAAATATTGTTTTAGTTTTATTTTGTCATGAAACATCTCAGATGCATTAAAGACCCAATAAAAGTACAGTAAACTATGTTTATTACGAACACCCTTATGACGAACTGATGGATGTAACGGATTGTATTTGGGTACCATCCATTTGCAGCACATGTGCTGTATATATATGCTAAACAACATATGGTTAAAATGAATTATAATTAGTGGTCCTTTTGAGTTCGTTATAACCATAGTTTACTGTACTTGTGAAAATACATCTCTTGTTGAAGCAAATCAGTGGGTTATTGCATAAGCATGATCAAAGTTGTGTAGTCGTTGGTGAGTCAAGTCTTAGTAGAGTCTTTTTGCAACAAGCATTGGGTAGTTGGACCTATTCTTCTTTGGAGGGATGTCTGTTGTTTAATGCCACACTCAGCAATATTTCAGCTAAATACCAACAGCCTGTAAAGAATTGATTCTGTTCCAGGACAGTCTGTGATCAGTAGTATGAGTGAGTGAATATGGTTTTACACTGCTTTTAGCAATATTCCAGCAATATCACAGCAGGGGACACCAGAAATGGGCTTCACACATTGTACCCATGTCGGGAATCGAACCCGGGTCTTCGGCGTGACGAGCTAACGCTTTAACCACTAGGCTACCCGACCACCCCTTCAGTATTATGAGCATTGATCCATCCCCACCATCAGAGGCTGCAATGTCATGCAATCAACCAAGTCTGACCACCCATCCTCTGACCTCGGGGGGGGCAATCCCCATAGGAGTGAACATGTGACAAAGGAGACGCTAAAGGACAATATGGCTGCTGTCAAGCTCATAGTCTGGTGTACACACACATCATACATCATGGTGACATGTCAATATATGTACAAGTCCACATGCCCTGATTACCAGCAGGTTACTGATGGAATGGGAGTCAGCTGGCATGCTCAGTAGTTGCGATGTCTCCAGCTGGATAGTGTGTCTTGTGTAACGTGATTAGCAGCAGTAAGAATCCCTTTTCCACAACCAAACCACACAACTTCATACATGACAGGATTTATTATCACAGGAGGTGTTGAGAAATATTGGTATTGATATCTGTCCGAGACAAAGGCTCTGTCATCAGACTTGACCACTGGTCGTCAAGCCACACAGTGACACTGTACATGGAGGTCAGCCATTGTTCTGCTGAGCTGTTCAGTCTTCTTCTGATGATTCTTCCTCTGCCTCCTTAAGCCATGTGATGAGCGGGGCAACCTGAAACATGTGACCATGTGATGAGCGGGGCAACCTGAAACATGTGACCATGTGATGAGCGGGGCAACCTGAAACATGTGACCATATGATGAGCGAGGCAATCTGTAATATGTGACCATGTGGTGAGTGGGGCAACCTGGAACATGTGACCATGTCGTGAGCGGGGCAACCTGAAACATGTGATGAGCGGGCCAACCTGAAACATGTGACCATGTGGTGAGTGGGGCAACCTGAAACATGTGATGAGCGGGGCAACCTGAAACATGTGACAATGTGGTGAGTGGGGCAACTTGAAACATGTGATGAGCGGGGCAACCCGAAACATGTGACAATGTTGTGCGTGGGGCAACTTGAAACATATGACAATGTGATGAGCGGGGAAACCTGAAACATGTGACCATGTGGTGAGTGGGACAACCTGAAACATGTGAGCATGTGGTGAGTGGGGCAACCTGAAACATGTGAGCATGTGATGAGCGGGGCAACCTGAAACATGTGAGCATGTGATGAGCAGGGCAACCTGAAACATGTGACCATGTGATGAGCGGGGCAACCTGAAACATGTGACCATGTGATGAGCAGGGCAACCTGAAACATGTGACCATGTGATGAGCAGGGCAACCTGAAACATGTGACCATGTGATGAGCGGGGCAACCTGAAACATGTGACCATGTGATGAGCAGGGCAACCTGAAACGTGACCATGTGGTAAGTGGGGCAACCTGAAACATGTGACCATGTGATGAGCGGGGCAACCTGAAACATGTGGCCATGTGGTGAGTGGGGCAACTTGAAACGTGATGAGCAGGGCAACCTGAAACATATGACCATGTGGTGAGCAGGGCAACCTGAAACATGTGACCATGTGGTGAGCGGGGCAACCTGAAACATGTGACAATGTGGTGAGCGGGCCAACCTGAAACATGTGACCATGTGGTGAGCAGGGCAACCTGAAACATGTGATGAGCGGGCCAACCTGAAACATGTCCCTGAAGGGAGACAAGTGTGGGATGCTAGGGATGTATGTGTTCTGCCCAGAATGCCTGATTTGTCTGATTTACTTTAACACCCTGACCATGTCCCTGCTCTTACCTTCTTCCTGATGTCCTTGTGAGCATCAAGATCAGCGTCAGGTTCGGGGTCAGCAGCGTGCCACTTGATGATGGCCTGTTCGTCTAGGATCTCCTGGTCGTACAGGAAGTGCAAAAGCTTCATCACGGCACACGACACTGCACTGTTAGACTCGCTCAGCTCCTGGTGGCGAGGGAGGAACACATTCAAACTCAAATTGTTATGTTGGACATCTTACCTCACAGTCAGTATTTTATCATCACTTGTTAAAGAATGATTGGCCTGTCGCTGTCTAGTAAAAACCCACACAAATCGGTTGGCTAACCTGTGTGGATATTATTATCTGCTTTTCATTTTGACCCTGTTTCCACTTCAAGTTTAAATGAACAAAGTCAGATGGCAGTCATAAGATAGATTTAATTATCACACACAAATATTCCATCAGAAGTAAGTCTTGTGAACTTGTAATGACTCCGTCACATGTGTCACAAGCGGGGTGTTCGGTTGGACAAGCTTGGTCTTGAGGTGTACAAATGTACAAAACCCATTCAGCTGCTAATATCCTGTACACCCTGCAAGTGACATAATAAAAACATTCCAAGTCATGAAGTATTACAGCTATAAGTTAAACTTATTTTATTTACAAAATGTGGTGATCTGGTGCAGTTGGTACCATATATGACCGCAGATAAGCCGACCCTGTAGATAAGCCGAGGTATTAACTTGACCATTGAAATACGAAAGAAAATGATATGACCCGCAGATAAGCCGAACCAGGAAGTGATAGGCAAAAAACAATGCGAAGTTGGACTGCAAGACATGTGCTGGTACTCGCAGATATTCATTAATAGAAGATGAAAAACGTTGTAATTATATTGAAAAAGTCATTATTATTTCTAATAAAGATTTAACAAACCAGTCATCCACTCTCATAATGTGGGAAGCTGTTTCTCTTGTCTTTTTCAAATCTCATAATGATTGTTATATGTTGCCATCAACAACCAAGCGCCATTTTGTGAATCTGTGTATATAGAATTATGAACCCGTGAGAAAATATATCAGCTACATCGAAGACTCACAGTTTGAATGCAGCACTGTAAGCATGGCGTTTTCGTTTCAAATTCATGATGAGAATGTCAGTCAGTAAAAATATACCAACTTTTATACCCCCCTTTATACCAGGCTAACTGGTTCAAAGACATGTTCCTGAACAGGGTCAGATTGCTGTCATCTCCCAGCATGTGACAACCAGGATAACTGAACTCGTGAGAATTGGAGGACGGATTTGATTGATCAAGTGGATTGCTAACTGCAATAGGATGTTCAATCTCAAACGTAGCTAGTTATAACAGGGCTAGCCTAGGATAACTAAAAGTCTTGGGAGTGTATAGACGAGAATACAAATAAAGTTGTTCATCGATAAAGTCTAGACATCAAAATATTTCTTGTTCTGATGTGGATATTTTAAATATTAATTGGTATAAATAGTGTACATCTTTCACAAACACTCCTTGAGAATCATGTTTAGTTTTGTCTCGTCTCATTCACACTTAATACTATTACTACTACCACTAATAATAATAATAATAATGTGCACTTATAATGAGCTAGCCTCCATGTAGCAGTTCATGCTCAAGGTGCTACATTATTACCCCGGTCAATCGATCAGTGAGCACTCGATTTTCATTCTCAGCTTCCTGGGGAGTATACAACCCAAACTGCCTGTGAGGCGCTAGAAGGTTAAAAGTCACATTACCATCTCATCCTACCGGGTACCCACTCACTGCTGAGTGAACAGAGGCACATTTTGAACAAAGTCACTTGCCTAAGGAGACACCACATGTGGTACATGTGCTTCAGTGTGGGGCAGGACCGAAGCCCTAGAAACTATCGGGAGTCATGCTGCTGAACATGGTCACCCATCCAACTACTCTCCGAGACCGACGTTGCTTAACTTCACCTGATTTGTGACCTGTGCGCTGTGCACAGGACCACATGCCACCACTTTTTTTCATCTGTGTAGTGAGAGCTTCACACTTTGTTCCCCACACTCTAATTTGTAGTGCTCCATAGATATAACAAGCATGATAGGAAGGATTAGGATACTAGAATAAGGGAAATTCATATTTAGATAATTGTATATATTCTACTGTGCAACACTTGCTGGATCTACTTCAATTATTTTCACTGAGAAAACAGGTGACACTCAAAGGGACAAGACTATGATTTCAGTTTTAGTAACCTTATTTCAAAGAGCTCATTGAGATTCCCACTAAAACAACGTTAGTTATGTGCTGCTGTGCCAGGTAGTTCAAGTAAGTGAGTGAGTGAGTTGGGTTTAACGCCACTTTTAACAGTATTCCAGTTACATCACGGCGTGTCAGCTTAATGTGGGAGGAAAGCCCAAAGTGATGCAGGTCTCAGATGTTTACCACTTCAGTGAAACCAACAGGATTTGAACCCACAATCATAGGTTTCTGGCGCGTCCAAGGGAGGCAACTCTGCACAGCATTCGCGGCGCCTTAGCCGACTGGGCCACCCGTGCCCCTAGGTTGTTCAAGACTTACCTCAATAGCTTGTAAACAGTCAAACTGAGCCTCGGCACTTTTGATGTAGTTTTTGATAAGGGCACTGTGTTTTGACAAATACTGAAATGAAATTAAAACAGGTAACAAGAATAGTGAGCGAAAATTGTTTTTATAATCATTCCATCAGCCAGAGTTTTGGTACTGTGACTTTAGCTGCATCAATTGGAATAAAAAAAACCAAATGATGCAGGTTGTAGAATCAGTTTCCCATAAGTCGCCACTTACGACAAACATAGTCGCCTTTTGCGGCAAGCATCTGTTGCTGAAGACCTATTCTACCACGGATCTTCACGGGTCTGCTCTATACCGACTCCGAGCCGACCAGTCCTTGTTTCCTCCCATTAATGCCAAGGGCAAGACAGGGTAACAACAAGTACCATCTTTTAACGTCTTTTGGGATGGCGCTGCCGGGGATCGACTATTGCCTGTTTTATGGTGCTAGCCCACTGAGATGCCATGTTACAGTTTAACATGAATACTCCACTCAGACTCTATACTGACTCTGAGCCGACCAGTCCTTGTTTCATCCCATTAATGCCAAGCGCCAGACAGGGTAACAACAAGTACCAACTTTTAACGTCTTTTGGGATGACGCTGCCGGGGATCGACTATTGCCTGTTTTATGGTGCTAGCCCACTGAGATGCCATGTTACAGTTTAACATGAATACTCCACTCAGACTCTATACTGACTCTGAGCCGACCAGTCCTTGTTTCATCCCAAGCACTAGGCAGGGAAACAACAAGTATCATCTTTTAACGTCTTTTGGTATGACATGGGTGGGGATCGAACCACTGACCTTCTGCTCTCAGGTCTGCTATATCAACTATACAATGGAGGGCTCTTTTAAAGTATATGTGAGTAGGGCCACTGACCGGTCTGAGTATCTTCATCACCTGGGTGACCTCCGCAGCCTTGGTGTCCTGTAGGGGCAGGGACAGCAGTGCCTTCATCACCAGCTGGTGCACTTCATTGATGGCAATGTTGTAGGCATGTCTGAGGTCAAATACATTAGCATTAGATTACCAGGTGAGGTGAAATGGGGTTTAACGTCGCGTCCAAGATTATTGCACTTATATAGCGACGTGCATGTACGTGTGTGTGTTTGTGTGGCTGCTTGTACTAGTCCGGACTGATGCCGATTTATAGTGCTAGCTCACTGAGATACCATGCCGCAGGTTAACATGAATACCCCACTCAGATACAGTATACTGGCTCCGAGCCGACCAGTCCTTGTTTTAGCCCCTTAATGCTGGGCGCCAGACGGGGTAACAACAAGTACCATCTTTTAACGTCTTTTGGTATGACGCGGCCAGGGAGCGAACCCCGCACCTTCTGTTCTCCGGGCGGACGCTCTACCACTAGATTTAGATTACCAAGCAACATCTGCACGGATATAGTTACATGAAAAATTCCAAATCATATTTTGATCAAAGTATCTAAGCACCTAACCTGACCACCCTTAAGTCACCTTGAAGAGTAAGTGAGTGAGTTGGGTTTAACACCAGTTTCACCAGTATTCCAGTTACATCACGGTGTGTCAGGCTGATGTGGGAGGAAAGCCTCAAGTGATGCAGGTCTCAGACGTTTACCACTTTGGTGAAACCCACAAATACGGGTATGGTGCTGACATTGGGTTGAAATGGAATTCGGACCCATGACATAGGTTTCTGGCGTGCCCAAGGGATGCAACTCTGCACAGCAAATTGCGGCACCTTAGATAACTGGGCCACCTGTGCCCCACCTTGGCAGACAAGCATCAGATGCTGGGGGCCAATTCTAACCAGGAGAACCAACAGGGAGGGCTAGTGATGGTGCACGGGCTGAGTTACATCAATGAGGAGTGAGTGAGTGAGTGAGTTGGGTTTAACGCCGCTTTTAACAGTGTCCAGTTATATCACGGCGTGTCAGCTTAATGTGGGAGGAAAGCCCGAAGTGATGCAGGTCTCAGACGTTTACCACTTCGGTGAAACCCACGAGCACGGGTATGGTGCTGACAAACCTAGAAACATAATCGGGGCGAACCGGGATTCGAACCCACAATCATAGGTTTCTGGCGTGCCCAAGGGCCGCAACTCTGCACAGCGAATCGCTGCGCCTTAGACGACTGGGCCACCCCTGGTTGAAGTATGAAGGATGACACAGAGACTGCTTACTTCAGAGAATTAATCTCCAGTATAATGTTATCTGTGATGATATTATCTTCCTTGGCTCGTATCAGGGTGTCGATCACTTCGGAGTAGAAATCTGAAACAAACACAGAACATACACCATGGATGGACGCTAACAAACACGAGCAATACTCATGAATTAAAAAGTACATCGTCTGTTTGATAAGACAAAGTTCGAAAGGATAATTACTATTTCCAAAACTAGGATTTCTCACTTTATTTATCCTGTTTATATTGTAATGTAAGGCCCCTCAAAACAATCTGAACACACAGCTTATTTATATGTTGCCTTTGTTTTTTGACAAACTCATTTGCATGATTCACTACACTGTTTTGTTTATTTGTATGTATGTATGTATGTATGTATGTATGTATGTATGTATGTATGTATGTATGTATGTATGTATGTATGTATGTATGTATGTATGTTGCTTAACACCTCACTCACTTGTTCTTTAACGCCGCACTCAGCAATATTCCAGCTATATGACGGCAGTCTGTAAATAATTGAGCCCGGACCAGACAGTCCAGTGATTGATATCATGAGCATCGAGCAACGCAACTTGGATACGATGACATGCATCAACCAAGTCAGCGAGTCTGACCAACCGATCACGTTAGTCGCCTCTTACAACAAGCATAGTCGCCTTTTACGGCAAGCATGGGTTGCTGAAGACCTATTCTAACTCTTACAAACACTGACCCGAACGGTACGATCATCATATTGTGGAGGAAGAAACTTAGCTGTCCAGTATTAGTATGTTCCTTTTACTGTTAAAACAGCACTCAACACGTCTAGGCATTATAGTCTCCCCAGCCCCCTCAACACAATCAACCTACATTTCCATTTGTCTGAGGGATAGCGCATTTGTAGATGTTCAGCATGTTCAGAAAAAGTACAAAAGCTTAAATCCTCTCTCTTTGGATGGACATTTATATCATTAGAGCACAAGATGTTAATGTTCAGATTATAACCTGATTGATGTTAGTGAGCTGGGTTTAACTCCACTTTGAACAGTTTTTTTCACGGAGTCAGCTTAATGTGGGAGGAAAGCCCAATGTTTACCTCCTTGATGAAACTCGCGAGCACTTGTTTGGTACTGACAAACCTAGAAATATCGGCGCGAACTGGGATTCATACCCCAAGTCACAGGTTCCTGGTCTACCCAAGGGACACCACTCTGGACATCGCATTGTGGTGCCTTAGACAATTCGGCCACCTGTGTCCCCATGATATTTGACACCTCAACATAAGTTTTTTTCAATACTCATTTGCAAGACACTCTTCAAAATCTATATCAAGTTATTAGTATGATCAGTGATGAAAAGTGAAGATGTATCAGACATACTTATCACTTATCTATGATACTATTATGGGTCCATACCAAATTAACCAACATGTAAAAAAACAGAGAAAAAAGTCACATCTTACCCTGCAACTGTTGTCATGGCAATAGTCATCTCTCAAAACAGTGTAACCATGGCAACCACATTCTGACAATCTTATGACATCCTCCATACCAATCTTGACGCAACACACTGTGAGACATCCCCTTGTTCATTCACTTCACAAGACTGAACACACAAACGAGGTCTGAACACATCACCACACTAACAACCAAACAAATTCCAAGAATTGTTCAGCAGAATGACTGTTTCCATGGTGACCGAAAGGAAGCTGAGAATGAGCCCGAGGAAGATGAGAAGAGGAAGGTGACGAAGGAGGAACATCAGCCACAAGAAGCAAACACCGGCGGCACCATGCATCAAGGCTTGAAACAGAACACCAAAAAACGTGACGGACGTGCAATCCTCTCAACAAACGAATATGTTCAAGCTCCAGGGTATGTTGGTCACAACAAGCATGGCATACCCAGGTTATCAATTGTTTCAAGGAGTCTCGTGGACCGATGTCTTTCAATTATGTGCTAATAAATAAACTGCAAGTGCCTCAAAGCATTTGACTGGTGAAGCTAGCAATTTGTTTTGTGTATTAACACAGTATGCACATTCGTATTTAACGAGGCACAATAATTAGTGCTACTATCATCAACAAACAATTATATTATGGTCTATCACAGTTACTAAGAATGTTAAAGTTCTCCTATTAATCTCACTGACACAACTATCAACATGGCGATCATTTGACTACTGGTTCTATCATAATGCTTCTACCATTAACTAATATTTCCATGACCAGAAGTGTTCACTAAAACAGTGTTTAGCAGTGATCACTTTTGGATGCAAATCCACAATATTATCGTGGTACATTTGACAATTCAAATGAATAAAACACCTGGGTTTAATGTCCCATCCAAGATTATTGCACTTATATAGCAATGTGCATGCACACACGTGCGCGTGCGTGCGTGCGTGCGTGCGTGCGTGCGTGCGTGTGTACATGCGTGTGCTTTTACTAGTCCCGACTAATACCGATTTTATGGTGCTAGCCCACTGAAATACCATGCCACAGTTTAACATGAATACCCCACTCTGACATAGTATACCGACTCCGAGACGACCTGTCCTTGTTTTAGCCCCTTTATGCCGATTTCCAGACAGGGTAACAACAAGTACCGTCTTTTAAAGTCTTTTGGTATCAAGTGGCTGAGATCGACTCCTGACCTTCCGCTCTCCGGGCGTACGCTCTACCACTAGACCAGGGAGGCAGTCGGGAGAAGGAAAGTCAGAAGCGATATGCAGGTCTCACTTTGGTGAAAACCACGAGCACGGGTATGGTGCTGACAAACCTGCTGACATGTACACGTATACTTTGTTGTGTAGGATACAATAGATTATCTTTAAAGTCAGCTTCTGGTGTCCCCCGCCGTGATATTGCTGGAATATTGCTAAAAGCGGTGTAAAACCATACTCACTCACTCACTCTAAAGTCAGAAATATTTTAGACAAAGACTTGAATGTGTTAAAAGGGCCTTAAAGTTTGATAAAAAGCCTTTGCCAAACTGCCAAATTAATGGCATTTTCAAGCTTTTGTGAACCCAAAGTCTATTGGTTTCTTTGTGTTACCATACAAACTGAGTACTTGCAATAAATAAATTAAGTGAGAAATCCTTGTTTTTGAAACAGTAAATATCCTTTCCATATTTGTCCTATCAAAGAAATATCATAACACTTTAACGTTACACGGCTAATTCAACAATATTACATTCCAAGCTAACATGTCAAACATGACCTCAGGAAAAAGAAAAAGAAAATTATACAACTTAAAGCAGAAGAAGATATAATATCCAATATCAACTTTCAAAATAATCCTGTTACAAATGCCAATTTGAATTCAAATGTCTTGTCCACATAGTAACCATAGTAACAATGAAATCTATGTTCTTTTCTTCTCCAACTTTTGACAAAGCCACAAGAAACGTTCCATTGATTTTCCCAAGGAGTATTATGCTGATAAATCTAGACCCGTGAAGATCCGGGGTAGAATAGGCCTTCAGCAACCCATGCTTGCCGTAATAGGCAACTATGCTTGTCATAAGAGGCGACTAATGGGATCGCGTGGTCAGGCTCGCTGACTTGGTTGATGCATTGACTCAATTATTTACAGATGCTCGTATATTGCTGAGTTAAACAACAAACAAATAAAACAAACAAACAGACATTGGGGGGGGGAAGAGAAAATCCTGGATCCTGGAGATTTGAACCCACCATCATAGACTTCTGGCATGCCTAAGGGAGGCAAGGCTGCACAGCAAGTCCTGCCTACTTTGACAACTGGCCCTTCCGTGTCCGGGCAAACACTGATTATTATTGTTATCATTATCATTACTATTATTCCAGTGCTATCCTGGCATGTTAGTGACTTGTGACACTGACCCAACATCATGAACATTTACCATTCAGGGACAATCATGAGCAGTGGTGTGGTGTTCACTGTCGACAGAACAAGGATATCATCAGATCCTGACATGACTAAGGGATGCAACTCTCTGAACAGATATTTGTACAGGGCCTCCATTTGTTTTAAGACTACAAGAGTCAGTAATCTTCAATATACAAGCTGATCACTAACATGGAGAAGACAAGACAAGAAGACAACATAGAGTATTATAACAAGGAGAATTTCAAGTCACTTCATGAGAACACATATCGGATGTTAATTGAGTTTGGTGAGGTGAGGTGAGGTGAGGTGAGGTGAGGTGAGGTGAGGTGAGGTGAGGTGAGGTGAGGTGAAATGGGGTTTAATGTCCCATCCAAGATTACTGCACTCATATAGCAACATGCATGCACGCGTGTGTGTGTTTCTGTGGCTGCTTGTGCTTGTCCCAACTTATTCCAATTCTATAATGCTAGCTCGCTGAGATACCATGCCGCAGTTTAACATGAATACCCCACTCAGACACAGTATGCTGACTCCGAGCCGACCATTCCTTTTTTCAGCCCCTTAATGCTGAGCAGCTAGGCAGGGTAACAACAAATACCATTTATCAAACTTGTTTTGGAATGACAAAGCCACCAATCAAACCCCCGACCTTCTGCTCTTCAAGAGGCAGATTGCGCTTGGGGCAGATTTAAGATTTTGGTTTGAACCTGACAAACTATAGCACGAGTATTGACACGTTCAGGTTGTGACATCAGTTCACAAACAGCAGGTACACAACAGTCAACATTCAATTAACAGAGAGTTCAGTGGATCCATGCTGTCTTGTAATCTGACCGCATTGCTGGAAAATGTTGATTGGTAAGACAAACTATAGCACAAGTATTGACACGTTCAGGGTGTGACATCAGTTCACAAACAGCAGGTACACAACAGTCAACATTCAATTAACAGAGAGTTCAGTGGACCCATGCTGTCTTGTAATCTGACCCCATTGTTGGAAAATGTTGATTGGTCAGACGGTAATAAGATCATGTGATGAGTTGAGCCCTGGGTTAGTCAAACTGCTGCTCTGGTCACCAGGAGTTCCAGATAAGTGGGTTCATTCAACTATATATGATTCCCCAAATAAAGACACATTCTGACCATATTACACACCAACCTATTCACAGAATGACCATAGGGAATCTGGAGAAACTACTCGGATATCATCATAAAAAGAAAGGTCTTACTTACTGAAAATCAGTGTCTAACTGCCTCTACCGGAGTCATTTCAGAAGTTTTGGCAATTTTGGAGACAAAAATTGCGAAACAATTTAGCGAGGACACTAGCCTAGCGGGATGAGTTTCCACATCTGTGCTTGTAGACCTCTGCGGTTTGGAACCTTTTCCCCAAATTAAAACAGTTGAATTTGACCAAAATATGTCCGAATTGTTACCTTGTTTCATTTTGTGGCTGTGTGTACATCTGACTGCACTTCGTAACGTTTTGACAAGACTGTTTTGACTGTTGTCACTGTCTGACTGACACATTCCTTACCTTCTGACTTAATATATATTAATGTGCACATTCCAGGAAAACTCGCAATGTTTAGGTAATGTTTTCGAGCACAAAATTGAAGAATGACATTATGCGATAAAGAGATTATCACACTTGTGTGTTTGGGGATGGTAAATATCCTTTATTAGGAATAAACACTATGTATTTAGCTTGCCAAGGTTCACAACATACGTTTATTCCTAATAAACGCTTATGGAATGTTTATTCCATACACATACATATATATTACACACATCATACACACACTTTACACATATATCACACACATTCACCAAGTACACACATCACACTCAATTCGCACACATATCAAGCAAATACAAAACAACCTAACATCAGTCAAATGTAATCTATTGTTTTGTATCAGTTAAAGGGATGCAAAATATGAACGGAAAGAATACAATATCGCATCCTAAACATGATGATACGCATGGTGTACCACAAATAACACATATCAATGATTCACTCACTTCCAGCGTCGTCTGGTATCGGGCTGCCCGAGGGAGAAATGTCGTCCTGGTCCGTGACGTCGCTGTCGATGCTGCTGATGTCGTCGTCCTCCTCCTCAGAGTGGACAGTGAGCCCCCACATGTCCTGGACCAAATCCTCATCCTCATCATCCGAGTCACAGCTTGCTCGGTACACAAATGCTTTGCTCTGACTTCCAAACTCTGTTGTTACATCTAGGGAAACACGATATTTACAATTACATCTCTGTTTTGTATTTTTTTGGTTTAATGCCACACTCAGCAGTATTCCAGCAATATAATGGCAGCCTGTAAATAAATGAGTCCTGACAATCCAATGATTGATATTTCCAGTGATGGATGCCGCTTGGGAACAATGCCACGTGATCAACTTCGTCAACAAACCAGGCCTTCTGTTCCAAATTCGGGTTGCTGGGGAACTGTTCTAATTATCATTGGGATTACATCTTTTATTGAACAATATATAAAGAAATAAGGTCAGATCCCTTTTTCAAATTTGATTATTAACCGTAACCATGGTAACCTCTAGAGATAATAAATTCTGTAGGGCCTGGCAACTTAGTTCGTTGGATCTGAAAGTCAGTTAGCTCACCTGAGTATGGATGTGCCCTGGGGGTGAGGGATAGGTCGTCACCATACAATAAGAACTGGGTTCTTGAAGTCTGACTATCTGCTGTATGATGCAGTGCCGGAGTTGGTGCTATTATTTATTTTCAGATGTTTTAAACACAATCAGTGTGGTGGAGGAGGGGAGATAATTTAGTGAGGAACGTATGAGTCGTACTTCTTTTCAGTCTTATAAAGTGGATGGTCGGCAGCCTACTGGGAATGGGGTTTGCTTGTCATCCCGAAGACTTGGGTCAATTCACAACAATGTGTGAAGTCCATTTCTGGTGTCCCCCACGTGATATTGCTGGAATATTGCTAAAAGCGGCATAAAACCATACTCACTTCCTTACTCCATAGTAGACAAACTAACATATTGGCAAAGTAATCATTATGAAATAATGTGATTGTTTTACATCTAAAACTATTCAAACAAATATTCCATGATACAGAAACAAATAGATTTTGTTCTCAAAAAATGAATGAACACTCTCACACAAAACATTCTTATTCTAATAGGCATACTTTGTAGCATGATACTTGTTCACACTAAAATATAAAGATGGTTTAGTGAAACGGCAGTATGGAAGAAGGAATTGTTTTACTACCAGGCTCCGGGGGAGTTTCCTCTTCATCAGCAAATTCATCCACCTGAGGCTTACTGATCAGCTGACAACCAGCTGGCAGAGTCACGGAGGGTCCGACTTTCACCTGCAGGGCAAACAACAGTACTACAGATTGGTGTTCTGACCAACCAACCTTTGCCCATGCCCGTGCCTAATATAACACATAATCTCTACATAAAAAAACGCAAATTTGATTTTAGATGTATACTTTGTATATTATATAAATAAAATCAACAAATAGTAATCGGTTGTTCAAAATTGGCACGCATCATTTTCATTGACCCATGTTCCATATGGCACACATGGAACAGTAGATTTTCAAGGTGAAGGTCATCTGTTCTCAATATCTTGTATGACCACCATTAGAGTCCAAAACTGACTGGCATCGCTGTCCCATTGAAGCAATCAGATCCAAAAATATGTCCTGGGAACATATATATAAAATTTGATTACTTTTAGAATCAAGTCAGATGTTGGCGCCCTTCAGGATTTTCACTTCAGTATTTTAAGCTAGTGTGTGTTAAAATAAATAAATATCCAACATGACACGGACACCGTGGACATCATAAGTCATAAGTATGGGCCCTCCCATCCTTGGACCACCCCTGGATCGATGACTGCCCCGCCCACTCTAGGACCAGCCTTGGATGGATGGTGCCTGCCCTGCCCCGCCCACTCTAGGACCAGCCTTGGATGGATGGTGCTTGCCCTGCCCTGCACACTCTAGGACCAGCCTTGGATGGATGGTGCTTGCCCTGCCCTGCACACTCTAGGACCAGCCTTGGATGGATGGTGCCTGCCCTGCCCTGCCCACTCTAGGACCAGCCTTGGATGGATGGTGCTTGCCCTGCCCTGCACACTCTAGGACCAGCCTTGGATGGATGGTGCCTGCCCTGCCCTGCCCACTCTAGGACCAGCCTTGGATGGATGGTGCCTGCCCTGCCCCACCCACTCTAGGGCCAGCATTGGATAGATGGTGCCTGCCCTGCCCTGCAAACTCTAGGACCAGCATTGGATGGATGATGACCCACTCTAGGACCACCCCTAGATGGATATGACCATCCCTCCCACCCTTGGACCATCCCTGTATGGATGGTGCCTGCCCTGCCCCGCCCACTCTAGGACCAGCATTGGATGGATAATGACCCACTCTAGGACCACCCCTAGATGGATAGGACCACCCTGCCCACCCTTGGACCATCCCTGGATGGATGGGTGACTGCCTTCCCACTCACCTCCCACGCAAGGACGGCTCCAGGTTGGATTGTAACTTCCTTGTGGACGCTGACATTGCTGCAGAGGAGGGCTGTCTCGATGACACAGTTGTCCTCCACGACCACCCCATCCCACAGGTAGCTGCCAGCTATCTTTACATTCTCACCTGTCAACAAAACATCAGTCCTCACATCTTGTATAACATGATATAGTGACTAAATACTGTGCAAGGTACACCAGCTGCCCAATATAACATATACATACATTTTGATAACATTTAAAAATCAACTATTTTCAATAACCTTTTGTGCTGGCGTGTGTAAAACAAAATATAAATATAAAAAACTAGGGTCAATTCCATTCGTGTCTAGTATGTTTTATACATCAATTAAAATGAAATGCTACCAAATTAATTGTTTTAATTTACTAACTAGGCTTTAATTGCCGAACTAGGCTGGAATTCCTGGGCTCGACCAGAGCGCCACCAGAGGTTATTACGAGTTATGTCCCTTCTAAGCCTCTCCTTTGGACTAATCAGATTCCACCTCTCTACTTTATATCTTTCATCTTCCCGAGGCAAGAGAGTTAACAGACTTTAAAAGTCCAGTTTCCACCCTTGCCGAACTAGGCTGGAATTCCTGGGTTCGATCGTAGCGCCACCAGTGGTTATTACGAGTTATGTCTCTTCTAAACCTCTCCTCTGGACCAATCAGATTCCTACTCTCTGTATCACTGGCATTTGATTCAAACAAATTGGCGCCGGCCAGTCAAGACGATAATCAAGATCTATATTGTGATAAAACGGGTCTTACATCGCAAATTGCATCAAATCACGTGAGCACCTTGTTTAGAATCATGAAAAGATTTGAAAAATGTCTGTTGACAATGAATTAGCGGTGCACATGCTTTGCAAATCCTGCAATCGACCGAAATCAGCACGACAGTTTACGAACCGGATTTCGATTTCGTTGCGCGATTTTGATTGGACTATGCATAGACTCGTTAGTCCAGCCAAAATATAACTCCATAATTCCAGTCTAGTTAGGCAAGGGTTGAAACTGGACTTTTATAGTCAATTAACTCATATGACTCGGGAAAATGTCACATATGGCCACATTGGAAGCAGCGAGCAAACATGGCCGGCATACACACCGATAGCAGCACCGACATCATGGTAGTTCAGATGTTATCACATACTGTATACAGCGAGCGAGCGAGTATGGTTTTACGCCGTTTTTAGCAATATTCCAGCAATATCACGGCAGGGGACACCAGAAATGGGCTTCACACATTGTACCCATGTCGGGAATCGAACCCGGGTCTTCGGCGTGACGAGCGAACACTTCAACCACTAGGCTACCCGACCGCCCCCACACTGTATACAAACAATACTGGTAGTGTTATGTTCATCTAGTGTCACTGACCTATCTGACAGTTTTTTCCTATAACCGAGTTGCTTATGTTTGTATTATTCCCAACTGAAGTCCCGCTTCCAATCACAACGTTCTCGGCCAAGACACAGCCTCTGCAATGAAAACAGCACAGTATAACTTTACAGCTAGCAGAATCCTATCAATGACACAACTTACCACGCTTACACTACACAAAACAACACAGTATAACCTTACAGCCAGCAGAATCCTATCATTGACACAACTTACCATGCTTACACTACACAAAACAACACAGTATAACTTTAAGGTAAGAGGCGACTAACGGGATTGGGTGGTCAGGCTCGCTGATTTGGTTGATGCATGCCATCATATCCAAATTGCATGATTGATGCTCATGATGTCAATCACTGGGTTGTCTGGTCCAGACTCGATTATTTACAGGCCGCTGTCATATGGCTGAAATATTGCTGAGTGCGGCGTTAAACAAACAACAAACAAACAAATCCTACCTGGCTAATGTGATGTCTTTACTGAGATACACATTGTGTCGCCCGTACGACATGACGTCACGGCCCAGGCATGTCATGTAGCCATCAGGCACCAGGGGATACGTCCAGCGATTCATCACGTCAAGGCTGAAACACATGACAGGTGTAGGTTGTGAATAACATTACCTCTGGGAGTCTCGTACCCATTTAGAAGTTGGATGTAACCATGACAAGTATTATCAGGGCTCGATTTAAGGAACTATATTTAACCCAGTCCAGATGCATGTTGACATGAAATGCTAGCAGCACCAGACTAAACCAGCTTGCACCCTGGTCCCCCAATTTATCAAAGTTGAAAAACAGATGCATAAACTAGTTTAAATAAGTACAATCTCAGATCTCTGGTGACTGTGTCATGTGTCAAGAATTACACAAAACACAGCAATTAGTGATGTAGTATGCTAAATAAAGCTTAAGGACATGAAGTTTGTTCAAAGATGGATGTTGTATGGACAAGTAGGGGTTAGTCAGATACAACTTTGAATTTTTTTGGACATGCATTTCGTGCATGTAGACATAAATATGACATTGCATTTTTCAATAATAGGTTGCAGTGGTGCATGTTTTATACAGCTAAATCGAGCTCCGCTTAGGGATAACATCTTCTTTCCAATACAGACAACGTTTCAGGGCATCTTCTTGCCCTTCATCAGGTGACTATAACAACTTCTTTATTTTACCAGTGTGTTACAGACACAACGTTTCAAGAAGTAGCCCTGAAACATTGTGTCTGTATAATAAAGAAGTTGTCACGGCTACTACTGTTTTTTAATGTTTTCAGGCCAGTGTACTACTGTGTAGTCATACTGAAAGTGGATTTTTCCAATTAAACAACTCACCTGACTGCATCATACATCTGCAGGTTGGAAATTCGAGCAGCATACTCATCCCTAACAACAGCCAGGTGAATTGTGTTTCCCAGAATCTGTAACAGAGGTAGAAAACCCTTGAAAATTACATACAGGATGTATACATACATCAATTCAGGAGATACACATGTCCGACAAAAACCTGTATTTCAACTTCAGTCTTCGACTCCATTTTTTCGGTACTTCCATCAGTGATTCTGTGGCATTTCATTTGCTAACCAAGCAATTGTTTTCGTGTTCATGTGTAAAAAAAACCAAAACTTTAGACCTTCTAAATGTCTTGTTTCCTGATTGGTTGATAAGAGACTAGACGGGGCTAGTGTTGCATATTGTGCTGAACAATGTCGCAGATTTCATAGTTTTGTGTGAAAGATTTGTTTGTTTGTTGTTTAACGCAGCAGTCAGGAACATTCCAGCTATATGGAGGTGTACTGAAAATAATTGACTCTTGACCAGACAATCAAGTGATTGACATCATGAGCATTGATCCATGCGAGCCTGACCATCCGGTACCGTTAGTCGCCTCTTATGACAAGCATGGTTGCCTTTAATGACAAGCATGGGATGCTGAACATGCTGAAGTCCTATTCTAACCCGGATCTTCATGTGTGGTGTGGAGGAATAAATATGCAGTCTGAGAATTTTTGATTGTTGACATATCTATTTATTAGAACTTATTTCAGTATGTTTTTGTGTTTATGGAGTACTAAACTAAAAAAAACAGAGAGTCTTGTTTGTAAAGCAGCAGACGACAATATTCCACATACATGAAGGCAGCCTGTCTGGACCAGACAACCAGTGGTTGATATTATGAACATCCTACACGTCACCAATTCAATTCAATTCAGTCTCCTCTTACACCAAGGGGCAATAGGGTAGATATCTTACGAACTTCACACCCAGATCGTACTGATTATCCAACTTGCTTACCTCTTCACTTATGAGAATTCCGCGGACAAAGTCATCCCGAGATTGGTAGTCAAAGTTGTCTGTGTAGAGTTGTGGTACGAGGGGTGTGCAGATGCACACCTGGGAATCTAGCATGTCATACCGCACATCTACGTCCGTGTGCTCCACAAACACACTCTGTCAACAGCAGAAACAAGCATTAAGGCATTCATCTAGGAAAGTACTGAAATGAAGTGTTTATATTAACAATACAGTTGATGTGAGGTGAAATGGGGTTCAGTTATGTTCAAGGTTATTTCACTTATACAGTGACATGAATGCATGTGTTCATGTGTGTTCACATGTGTGTGCACATGTGTGGCTGCTTGTGATAGTCTGCACGATCCCAGGGAGACATCATTCCATGAATACTCCACTCACACACACAATACTAACTCAGCGCCGACCAATCCTTGTTTTATCGCCTAAATTCTGAGCACCTTTCAGGGCAACAACAAGTAACATCATTTTACGTCTTTAGGTATGATGCTGCTGGGGATGGAACCCCCGGCCTTCTGCTCTCCACTAGGTCACAGAAGGGATCAGGGGATGGAACCCCCGGCCTTCTGCTCTCCACTAGGCCACAGAGGGGGTCAGGGGACCGAACCCCCGGCCTTCTGCTCTACACTAGGCCACAGAGGGGGTCAGGAGATCAAACCCTTGGCCTTCTGCTCTCCACTAGGCCACAGAGGGGGTCAGGGGATCGAACCCCCGGCCTTCTGCTCTCCACTAGGCCACAGAGGGGGTCAGGGGATCGAACCCTTGGCCTTCTGCTCTCCACTAGGTCACGGAGGGGGTCAGGGGATCAAACCCCCGGCCTTCTGCTCTCCACTAGGCCACAGAGGGGGTCAGGGGATCAAACCCCCTACCTTCTGCTCTACACTAGGCCACAGAGGGGGTCAGGGGATCAAACCCCCGGCTTTCTGCTCTCCACTAGGCCACGGAGGGGGTCAGGGGATCAAACCCTTGGCCTTCTGCTCTCCACTAGGTCACAGAGGGGGTCAGGGGATCAAACCCTTGGCCTTCTGCTCTACACTAGGCCACGGAGGGGGTCAGGGGATCAAACCCCCGGCTTTCTGCTCTCCACTAGGCCACGGAGGGAGTCAGGGGATGGAACCCCCGGCTTTCTGCTCTCCACTAGGCCACAGAGGGGGTCAGGAGATCAAACCCCCGGCTTTCTGCTCTCCACTAGGCCACAGAGGGGGTCAGGAGATCAAACCCCCGGCTTTCTGCTCTCCACTAGGCCACAGAGGGGGTCAGGAGATCAAACCCCCGGCTTTCTGCTCTCCACTAGGCCACGGAGGGGGTCAGGAGATCAAACCCCCGGCTTTCTGCTCTCCACTAGGCCACAGAGGGGGTCAGGGGATGGAACCCCCTACCTTCTGCTCTCCACTAGGTCACGGAGGGGGTCAGGGGATGGAACCCCCTACCTTCTGCTCTCCACTAGGTCACGGAGGGAGTCAGGGGATGGAACCCCCTACCTTCTGCTCTCCACTAGGTCACGGAGGGGGTCAGGGGATGGAACCCCCTACCTTCTGCTCTCCACTAGGCCACGGAGGGAGTCAGGGGATGGAACCCCCTACCTTCTGCTCTCCACTAGGCCACGGAGGGGGTCAGGGGATGGAACCCCCTACCTTCTGCTCTCCACTAGGCCACGGAGGGGGTCAGGGGATGGAACCCCCTACCTTCTGCTCTCCACTAGGCCACGGAGGGAGTCAGGGGATGGAACCCCCTACCTTCTGCTCTCCACTAGGCCACGGAGGGGGTCAGGGGATGGAACCCCCTACCTTCTGCTCTCCACTAGGCCACGGAGGGGGTCAGGGGATGGAACCCCCTACCTTCTGCTCTCCACTAGGCCACGGAGGGGGTCAGGGGATGGAACCCCCTACCTTCTGCTCTCCACTAGGCCACGGAGGGGGTCAGGGGATGGAACCCCCTACCTTCTGCTCTCCACTAGGCCACGGAGGGAGTCAGGGGATGGAACCCCCTACCTTCTGCTCTCCACTAGGCCACGGAGGGGGTCAGGGGATGGAACCCCCTACCTTCTGCTCTCCACTAGGCCACGGAGGGAGTCAGGGGATGGAACCCCCTACCTTCTGCTCTCCACTAGGCCACGGAGGGGGTCAGGGGATGGAACCCCCGGCTTTCTGCTCTCCACTAGGTCACGGAGGGGGTCAGGGGATGGAACCCCCTACCTTCTGCTCTCCACTAGGTCACGGAGGGAGTCAGGGGATGGAACCCCCGGCTTTCTGCTCTCCACTAGGCCACGGAGGGGGTCAGGGGATGGAACCCCCGGCTTTCTGCTCTCCACTAGGCCACGGAGGGGGTCAGGGGATGGAACCCCCGGCTTTCTGCTCTCCACTAGGCCACGGAGGGAGTCAGGGGATGGAACCCCCGGCTTTCTGCTCTCCACTAGGCCACGGAGGGGGTCAGGGGATGGAACCCCCTACCTTCTGCTCTCCACTAGGCCACGGAGGGGGTCAGGGGATGGAACCCCCGGCTTTCTGCTCTCCACTAGGCCACGGAGGGGGTCAGGAGATCAAACCCCCGGCTTTCTGCTCTCCACTAGGCCACAGAGGGGGTCAGGGGATGGAACCCCCTACCTTCTGCTCTCCACTAGGTCACAGAGGGGGTCAGGGGATGGAACCCCCTACCTTCTGCTCTCCACTAGGTCACGGAGGGGGTCAGGGGATGGAACCCCCTACCTTCTGCTCTCCACTAGGCCACGGAGGGAGTCAGGGGATGGAACCCCCTACCTTCTGCTCTCCACTAGGCCACGGAGGGGGTCAGGAGATCAAACCCCCGGCTTTCTGCTCTCCACTAGGCCACAGAGGGGGTCAGGGGATGGAACCCCCGGCTTTCTGCTCTCCACTAGGCCACGGAGGGGGTCAGGGGATGGAACCCCCTACCTTCTGCTCTCCACTAGGTCACGGAGGGGGTCAGGGGATGGAACCCCCTACCTTCTGCTCTCCACTAGGTCACGGAGGGGGTCAGGGGATGGAACCCCCTACCTTCTGCTCTCCACTAGGCCACGGAGGGAGTCAGGGGATGGAACCCCCTACCTTCTGCTCTCCACTAGGCCACGGAGGGAGTCAGGGGATGGAACCCCCTACCTTCTGCTCTCCACTAGGCCACGGAGGGAGTCAGGGGATGGAACCCCCTACCTTCTGCTCTCCACTAGGCCACGGAGGGAGTCAGGGGATGGAACCCCCTACCTTCTGCTCTCCACTAGGCCACAGAGGGGGTCAGGGGATGGAACCCCCTACCTTCTGCTCTCCACTAGGCCACGGAGGGAGTCAGGGGATGGAACCCCCTACCTTCTGCTCTCCACTAGGCCACAGAGGGGGTCAGGGGATGGAACCCCCTACCTTCTGCTCTCCACTAGGCCACAGAGGGAGTCAGGGGATGGAACCCCCTACCTTCTGCTCTCCACTAGGCCACGGAGGGGGTCAGGGGATGGAACCCCCTACCTTCTGCTCTCCACTAGGCCACGGAGGGAGTCAGGGGATGGAACCCCCTACCTTCTGCTCTCCACTAGGCCACAGAGGGGGTCAGGAGATCAAACCCCCGGCTTTCTGCTCTCCACTAGGCCACAGAGGGGGTCAGGGGATGGAACCCCCTACCTTCTGCTCTCCACTAGGTCACGGAGGGGGTCAGGGGATGGAACCCCCTACCTTCTGCTCTCCACTAGGCCACGGAGGGGGTCAGGGGATGGAACCCCCTACCTTCTGCTCTCCACTAGGCCACGGAGGGAGTCAGGGGATGGAACCCCCTACCTTCTGCTCTCCACTAGGCCACGGAGGGGGTCAGGGGATGGAACCCCCTACCTTCTGCTCTCCACTAGGCCACGGAGGGAGTCAGGGGATGGAACCCCCTACCTTCTGCTCTCCACTAGGCCACAGAGGGGGTCAGGAGATCAAACCCCCGGCTTTCTGCTCTCCACTAGGCCACAGAGGGGGTCGGGGATGGAACCCCCTACCTTCTGCTCTCCACTAGGTCACGGAGGGGGTCAGGGGATGGAACCCCCTACCTTCTGCTCTCCACTAGGCCACGGAGGGGGTCAGGGGATGGAACCCCCTACCTTCTGCTCTCCACTAGGCCACGGAGGGGGTCAGGGGATGGAACCCCCTACCTTCTGCTCTCCACTAGGCCACGGAGGGAGTCAGGGGATGGAACCCCCTACCTTCTGCTCTCCACTAGGCCACGGAGGGGGTCAGGGGATGGAACCCCCTACCTTCTGCTCTCCACTAGGCCACGGAGGGGGTCAGGGGATGGAACCCCCTACCTTCTGCTCTCCACTAGGCCACGGAGGGGGTCAGGGGATGGAACCCCCTACCTTCTGCTCTCCACTAGGCCACGGAGGGGGTCAGGGGATGGAACCCCCTACCTTCTGCTCTCCACTAGGCCACGGAGGGGGTCAGGGGATGGAACCCCCTACCTTCTGCTCTCCACTAGGCCACGGAGGGAGTCAGGGGATGGAACCCCCTACCTTCTGCTCTCCACTAGGCCACGGAGGGGGTCAGGGGATGGAACCCCCGGCTTTCTGCTCTCCACTAGGCCACGGAGGGGGTCAGGGGATGGAACCCCCGGCTTTCTGCTCTCCACTAGGCCACGGAGGGGGTCAGGGGATGGAACCCCCTACCTTCTGCTCTCCACTAGGTCACGGAGGGGGTCAGGGGATGGAACCCCCTACCTTCTGCTCTCCACTAGGCCACGGAGGGGGTCAGGGGATGGAACCCCCTACCTTCTGCTCTCCACTAGGTCACGGAGGGGGTCAGGGGATGGAACCCCCTACCTTCTGCTCTCCACTAGGCCACAGAGGGGGTCAGGGGATGGAACCCCCGGCTTTCTGCTCTCCACTAGGCCACGGAGGGAGTCAGGGGATGGAACCCCCTACCTTCTGCTCTCCACTAGGCCACGGAGGGGGTCAGGGGATGGAACCCCCTACCTTCTGCTCTCCACTAGGCCACGGAGGGAGTCAGGGGATGGAACCCCCTACCTTCTGCTCTCCACTAGGCCACGGAGGGGGTCAGGGGATGGAACCCCCGGCTTTCTGCTCTCCACTAGGCCACGGAGGGGGTCAGGGGATGGAACCCCCTACCTTCTGCTCTCCACTAGGCCACGGAGGGGGTCAGGGGATGGAACCCCCGGCTTTCTGCTCTCCACTAGGCCACGGAGGGAGTCAGGGGATGGAACCCCCTACCTTCTGCTCTCCACTAGGCCACGGAGGGGGTCAGGGGATGGAACCCCCTACCTTCTGCTCTCCACTAGGCCACAGAGGGGGTCAGGGGATGGAACCCCCTACCTTCTGCTCTCCACTAGGTCACGGAGGGAGTCAGGGGATGGAACCCCCTACCTTCTGCTCTCCACTAGGCCACGGAGGGGGTCAGGGGATGGAACCCCCTACCTTCTGCTCTCCACTAGGCCACGGAGGGGGTCAGGGGATGGAACCCCCGGCTTTCTGCTCTCCACTAGGCCACGGAGGGGGTCAGGGGATGGAACCCCCTACCTTCTGCTCTCCACTAGGCCACGGAGGGGGTCAGGGGATGGAACCCCCGGCTTTCTGCTCTCCACTAGGCCACGGAGGGAGTCAGGGGATGGAACCCCCTACCTTCTGCTCTCCACTAGGCCACGGAGGGGGTCAGGGGATGGAACCCCCTACCTTCTGCTCTCCACTAGGCCACGGAGGGGGTCAGGGGATGGAACCCCCGGCTTTCTGCTCTCCACTAGGCCACGGAGGGGGTCAGGGGATGGAACCCCCGGCCTTCTGCTCTCCACTAGGCCACGGAGGGGGTCAGGGGATGGAACCCCCGGCCTTCTGCTCTTTTATTACAGACTAGTTGACATCATCAAACCAACAGATGAACCTTCTGCTCTCTGGCAGATGCTTCTAGCCACTGGACCTTGGAGGCGGGCAGGGTATCGAACCACCAACCTTCTGTTCTTTTATTACAGACTAGTTGACATCATCAAACAAACAAATGAACCTTCTGCTCTCTGGGCAGACACTCCAGCCACTAGACCTTGGAAGGGGTTGTCAGGTAGCCTGGTGGTTAAAGCATTCGCTCGTCACGCCGAAGACCAGGGTTCAATTCCCTACATGGGTACAATGTGTGAATCCCATTTCTGGTGTCCCGCACCGTGATATTGCTGGAATATTGCTAAAAGTGGCGTAAAACCATACTCGATCACTCACAAGACCTTGGAGGTGGGTAGGGGATTGAACCACAGACCTTCCGCTCTTTTACTACAGACTAGTTAACATCATCAAACCAACAAATGAATAAAACATCATGTATATAAAACTTAATAACATAGTAGCAACCTATTAGCTACAAAACAATAAGCTAAATGATCTTCACAACTTACCACTGGTATATGGAACTTGTTTTGTTGGTACGCCTTTTGATAATGCAGAACCCTGTTAGTGTCACTTTCCACTGCAACAAGGATTTCATCCTCGCTACAGCGTGTACGGTGTCCCGGCGGGGCCTTCTTGCACACCAGTGTCATCACACTCGACTTGTCCTTTTCCCGTCGTTTCCTGGAGCAGAGGCACAAACTGTCAATACTTGAAACTACATCACCTTCAGAAACCCCATGCATGGATCTAACCATGTTGAAGTATTAACTGTAAGGGATGGGACAGTGGGAAGAGTCCAAAGTTACTACCAGGGTACCCGACCCCATATCAGCATGTATCAGGGGTGAAACGATACATCAGTGTACCGGTGCATTTTGCGTTTTCATGTGACGATACAATACGGACCCGTGAAGATTCCGGGGTAGAATAGGTCTTCAGCAACCCATACTTGCCATAAAAGGTGACTATGCTTGTCGTAAAAGGCGACTTACGGGATCGGGTGGTCAGGCTCACTGACTTGGTTGATACATGTCATCGATCCCAATTGCGTGGATTGATGCTCATCATGTCAATCACTGGATTGTCTTGTCGAGACTCGATTATTTACAGACTGCCGTCATCATGGTCATATAGCTGGAATATTGCTGAGTGCGGCGTTAAACAACAAACAAAAAACAAACAACATATACACAATACGTTTTTTTCTGTATTGATACAAGACGATACACTTGCTAAAATAAATTACTTACAGCTCACTTACAACCTAACCTAAACATATGCTAAAAGAATATTAAAGCAGTGATCGGAAGAAATTCTATCTGAAACTATTTATTGTACCAGGAATAATATATTCTATTGTTTTGTTATTTTAGTTGCGTTTTTTTATTATATAGATTAAGTTATAAACAATCATAAGTATAGCACTTTGGTATATGAGCGGTTATTATTTATGTATGGAACAGTTGGATAAGTCACTATTTGAGATCAACCATTCAGTGGTGGCAACCTGAAGGCTTTCCACAATATTTGCTATTTTGATCGCAAATACACTGGTCAGGTGAGCTACAAATGCTGTTATGTAATGCAGCAGTATTACTAAAGTATAAGATTTACTACTTTGGTGACACCTACAATCATAGAGCTGACAGACCAAGAATCTAATCAGGGGGCGAATAAGGGATTCACAACCTTGGATCCTGACATGGCAAAGGGATGCAACTCTACACATCAAGTTATGGTTTCTTAGATTGCTCGTCCTTGTTTGTTAGTTTATTTGTTGTTTAACACCGCACTAAGCAATATTCTAACTATATGACGCCAGTATGTAAATAATCGAGTTTGGACCAGACAATCCCGTGACTGACATCATGAGCATCGCAATTGGGATACGATGACATGCATCAACCACGGCTGACATCCCGATCCCGTTAGTTGCCTCTTACGACAAACATAATTGACTTTTACGGCAAGTATGGGTTGCTGAAGACCTATTCTACCCCGGATCTTCGCGGGGCGCTCGTCCATGTTACCATTGCACATGTGACTAAAGTTTACGTGACAACCAAAATGAAACCAGATTAGAAGCATTTTCATGCATCGTGAATAGATTAGAAGCATTTTCATGCATTGTGAATAGACACATCTTTACAATAGAACTGTACACATTGTCAAGCTAGGGCTAGTAAGACACTTACTTGTGCTCTTCTAGTATTTTCTTCAGGTTGATGTTAGCAATGATGTCTCCTGAAACGAGGATGAAGTCACTCCTGACAAGAGACTTGCTGTCGATCTCTCGAAGAGCGTCGCCCACTGACATGCATCCATCAGACAGTATTGGGCTGACCTGCATAGGCGAGCTACTATCATTCCATTTGGAATTCCTGAAAGTAAAAAACATGGGGAGTATGATGACCACTGATATAATGAAAAGTTTATGTTGGTGAGGTGAAATGGTGTTTAACATCGTCTCCAAGAATATTGCACTGACAGAGTGATGTGTCTATGTCTGACTGCTTGTACTCGTCCGAACTTTATCCCGGTTTTATAGCCGTATGTACGGAGTTTACAGTTTAACAAGGATACCCCACACAGACACAGTATACTGACTCCGAGACGACCAGTCTTTGTTTTATCCCCTTAATGTTGAACGCCAGGCATGGTAACAACAAGTACAATCTTTTAACATCTTTTTGTGTGATGCTGCAAGGTGTCAAACCCCAAACCTTCCTCTCTCAAGAGGCTCTATCGACGGTGGTGGTCTGTTCCTATGGGGGACAGTAAAGTGATGACTTACTTGATGTGTGTCCTGATCTGGTCAGCCAGATGGCAGCAGAACACGAAAACCTCCTGGACCCCTGCTGCGTACAGGAACTCCAGTGTGTAGTCCAGCAGCGGAACATTCACCAGCGGTAGCAGCGTCTGATAGATAGACAAGAGTATACACATGACATAACGGCTGGCTATCGATATACATCATAGAGATTGATAATCGTTAACAAAATATTGATCAATTATCGATAAATATGGGTGAAGTAACTTTGAGCAAATATGCAAAAAAGGTCGAAAGAAATCAACTTATTTCACATCACCGGTGAGTTGTGATACATTTATCATGTTTATGCACAGATTACTTTGTGGACATTTAAGATATAACAAAAACAATTGCTTTCCGTCATCGGCATTTAACATGATTGAAAATATCAAGTCTTTCTTGGTAAATTTAAACTTTATTTCTTCACAATATTATTTCACAACAATTATCTCAGTAGCCTTGATGAGTTTCAAGCTGGCCATGCGACCTCAATCCTCCACATACAGCGGAGGGTATCTGTAGAATTGGGACTTATCGTGCTTATTGAGGTCCATATGGTCCGAAAATAATCTAAATTCACAATCACATTGATTCAAGTCAAACAACTACAATAAAACACACTGCGTCGGCTAAACTGATTCGCACAATCCCCGTTCTTTGTTTGAAAAGGTCCGGACGATGAAACAGGCAGTATTTTCAATGTTGTGCTAAGGTAAGAGTGCTAGTACCAGTGATAGTCACAGCCTATCTCGATCTGATTTGACAAAATTTGTGACTTGGGAAGGCGGTAAACCTTTCTGCTCATCATGTCGTTTACGGAAAAATCTGTTTTGAGTTACCCGTGGACGTCTTTCTGTTACGGGACCAAATCGAACATTGAAACTGTCAGCGATTACTACAGCTTGTAAGATATCTTCTTGTTTCAAGTCCTCACGTTGGCTTGTTTTCCCCTTTGGAGCCATCTTGTTTCATCAGAATACGAGTCCATTACTGAGGGGTTACACTCTTTTGGAGTTTTAGGACACAATTTATTTCTTGATATTTCATATCAAAATATAAAGCCGCGAAACTTATGATGGTACATTTATCAAATGCAAAATTCATATTCCCTTAAGCATATGATATATCTAAATGTTTTTTGTGTTGATAATGAAGGATTTCCCCCAGTTTTAAAATAGACTTCCCCCCAAGGTAGATAACTCTAATCGGTTTCCGGTTTTTCGTCTGCATTACTTTTTGGTTAAAGAAGTTAGAACGGTGCTACAAGTCTTGTAATTCTGCTGAAAGAAGTAAGTATCTTTGGATATCATGTTCTTAATTGTCTAAAGGAGTACGTGAATCTCAACATAAAGAGACGTCTGATAAATTGAGACAATTTTCTAAAAATACCCCGCAAAGTTCCAGGCCCAAACAAAATAAACCTGCCACACCCAAATCTGTCACACAAAATTATTCAAAACGGTTAACAATGTGTGATGGTTCGCTGAGTGACTAAGGTCGCGCTTCACTGATCTCAACTGCATTTGCTGTCTGTCAGCCTTCTCTATCTTTAGCCCTTAGGACATTTTTCTTTTTAAGCTATCTATTTTATCATAACCATATATCTAAACTGCTCCTAATTGTGATTCCATCTTCTCCATGGTGACGGTCCAGTGGTAGAGCATGGTTACGAACCTTGCAAGTGCTGCATCAAACCAACCATTGCAGGTTTGGTCCAACTGTATCAAAGTGGGTGCTAATTGGAATATCCAAAAGTTCCTTACTTAGTCCGGGATACAGTTTACTGTGCAATGGCTCTGGCTCCAGCTTGCACTTCACTGACCTCCCATGCCTTTACTGTCTTCACTAACTTTACGATCATCACTGGCTAGTGGCCAGCAGTTATCACTGAGGATCATCAACACCTCGTTATAACGTACATGTGCTGACTGTTACGTGATATACAGATGAGAGTTATACTTCCCTTCAACTACTACCAGAGGGCACTTTTGTGCAACCTCGTGTCATTCAGAGAGCACAATATTTATACATTTACACTGAAGTAAGAATCATCAATCTTGATATGTCCTCGTGTTAATACCTAGGGCTCAGGAATGTAAATGGTGGCAGCAGTCGGCAAACAAAACTGTAAATTATGTCTGCATTTCTGTATGTAAAATCATAACGGAACTGATACAATATCGTTTATTGTGTACAGCGAGTGATAATGCAGATCAAATCTCTCTTTTGACTAGCTATGGTTTCTCAGAACTGCCATAGTATTCTGACTTTCCTGCAACAGTCAGATGTCTGATAAAGACTTGCAATTATTGCAATAACTGTGTATTGTCAGTTTTGGTTAGGAATCAGGGCCCCGTTCCACAAAGCGATCATAGCGATACGACTGTCATAAGCTTATGATAAAGTATGGGAGTTACGATCATCTTAGCGCTACGATCGCTTTGTGGAACAGGGCCCAGAACTACAAGCACACAACAGTCACATCTGAGAGAGAGGGGCCTAACTCAAGAAAGCTGCATTGATATAATATGTTGGACATTTTTATTTTCAATAAGGGCGTTGATTTGACTTTCCTTGGTACCTTTGGGTGCTTCCATATTATGATTAATGTAGCAAAATAGCAAAATTGGAATATGAACACTTTCACCGATGGCTAGGCAGTGTTACGTGTTATGCAGTCTTGTTATAAGAGTTACTTCCCTTGGCATATGTCTGCCATGCAAGTTGTAATAAACGCTGAAGTTTTAATCTGAGTTATCTGTGACCATCCAGACATGTGTACAACACACCCAGCATGTTGCTGAATTTAGACGCTGTTGGAAAGACAATAGGGCTGGGACAGGTCCAAATTTACTACCCGGGTACCCAACCCCCTATTACCGGACCCTACCCGGGTACCCACTGTAGGTCTCAAGCATTAGTGATGATACCAGGTGTTCACAAGAAGGTGAGCATTTCCTGCCCCACTCACAAACACATGCAAAGACAAGTCAATTGGTCACCTGAAAAAACATGGGAACATATGGTACAAGTCAAAATAGGGAATTGCATCCGAGATCATGTTTGTCACTGATGCATCAAATTTGGAAATGTCCTCCACATGTCTACCATAAAACTTTTTAAAAGTGTTACTGATGCCCTGAATGTTGTAACCTTGATCAAACAACTACTGAGCAAGCGTCGACTGACGCTCTTTGAAATCTGGGTAGAAAGAGCGAGTGAGTGAGTGAATTTGGTTTTACGCCGCTTGTAGCAATATTCCAGAAATATCACGGCGGGGGACACCAGAAATGGGCTTCACACATTGTACCCATGTCGGGAATCGAACCCGGATCTTCGGCGTGACGAGCGAACGCTTTAACCACTAGGCTACCCGACCGCCCCCTGGGTAGAAAGAGCATGCTAGATTGTATCTCAAAAGTTATGAAATGTATACACCAGAGCTGCTGGAATATTGCTCAACATGAATGTATAGAAATATGTATTTTTGAAACTGTGACATCACAGTACGGCACTGAGCGGTATACAAGCCGGATGACGTCCAGACTCTGTGAGGGTTGAACCAAGGCAACATCCTCACTTATCAAATGTATTAAATCTCCATTCTATTATGATAATACCCTGAATCCATTCGCCACCATACCTTTGTTTTGAGTTTGGTTCAAATGCAGTCTATTCAAATTACATGTTGGAAAGAAACATGGAAATACAAGTACCCAAGTCAACTTTGGCAAGCCGTTTCCAGTACACCTGGAAGGCCTTGGAGTGTAATGACTTCCTCCCATCTTAATACTCAGGAAATCATTCTTCACCCAGCAGTGAATGGGTACCCGGGAGGATGAGATAAGAGCGTAACTGTAACCTTGCAGCTAACAGTTCATGTAGAACAGTCTTTTTTTTTGGTTCGGTATATTGAGACACTGACAGAATATTGATTGTGGATTGAGGTGGAAATGAAACACCCATAAAATGTCAGGACGTCTCTGGTGCATCAAGTGACTAAAGCTTGAAAATCAAATGAACACTACCCATCCTCTCACCAAACCTAACAGCAGTCAGGGAAGGGTCATTTATCATGGGGTTGGGAGTGTAGGGGGGGAGGGGGGCGGGGGTAATAGGTCTGAGGACTGTATGATATTTTGCTTCCCCCACCCCCCACCCCTCATAACAAATGACCAGTTCCTAATTTATGTTCAGATCTATAACTTATTTTTTTGACAAAATGGGACAGTGTTTGGGGGTAACCATGGTAACCTGTCATGACCCAAACTAAACCATGATGATAATGTCACGTTAATGTTCTTGCAGTTGATTCTGAGCCAGATATTCAATAGCCATTCTGGACAAGTAAAACTGATGCAACTATAGGTTGTTGATATAAAAGTCTGTAGATTCCAGAGGTTGTATCAACTCACCCCTTGGGAACTTGTTGCTACTATTTCCTGAATCAACCAATTCTCATTTCTCCATCACCCAACCCTACCAGAGTTCCAGGTAAGCTGTGCTTTAAAAAGGGCTATGTCGCACATTTAAAAAAAACTTTTTTATTAATATTTTATTTGTTTCCTGTTGCATATTACAAATGAAGAATTCATGATTCTATAAATAGACACGAAAGACAGTGATATGTATACAAGCTAAACAGAAATAAACAGTTATCAACTAAACGATGAGCGACAATTTGACCAAAATGTGTTCTTGCTGTCACATATTGATGCATTGTATTTGGTCATGCAATAATTTTATGTGATCTCCTCTTTAAGTTGGTTAAATGTGGGTGGTTTATTGAAAAGTTTATAGCTTTAAATCATGTATTTTGATACAATGATTAGCGCATGTATTGTCTGTGCTGGACAACCTATGAGGACAACGTCTTTAGTAGTTATATTTTTTACCTTTATTTTATTTAATATGCAGTTTTCTAAATCAGTCCAAAGAAAGTTCACTTTTCTACATGACCGAAATATGAGTTCAATAGTGTCTTTGAAATCTGAGCAGGAGCTACATTAGTGTTGTCTACGTAAATATGTGTTCAATAGTTCCTTTGAAATCTGAGCAGAAGCTACATAAGTGTTGTCTACGTAAATATGTGTTCAATAGTTTCATTGAAATCTGAGCAGAAGCTACATAAGTGTTGTCTACGTAAATATGTGTTCAATAGTTTCTTTGAAACTGAGCAGGAACTACATAATTTATAAGTGTTGTCTACGTAAATATGTGTTCAATAGTTTCTTTGAAATCTGAGCAGGAGCTACATAAGTGTTGTCTACGTAAATATGTGTTCAATAGTTTCATTGAAATCTGAGCAGAAGCTACATAAGTGTTGTCTACGTAAATATGTGTTCAATAGTTTCTTTGAAATCTGAGCAAAAGCTACATAAGTGTTGTCTACGTAAATATGTGTTAAATAGTGTCTTTGAAATCTGAGCAGGAGCTACATAAGTGTTGTCTACGTAAATATGTGTTCAATAGTGTCTTTGAAATCTGAGCAGGAGCTACATAAGTGTTGTCTACGTAAATATGTGTTCAATAGTTCCTTTGAAATCTGAGCAGAAGCTACATAAGTGTTGTCTACGTAAATATGTGTTCAATAGTTTCATTGAAATCTGAGCAGAAGCTACATAAGTGTTGTCTACGTAAATATGTGTTCAATAGTTTCTTTGAAACTGAGCAGGAACTACATAATTTATAAGTGTTGTCTACGTAAATATGTGTTCAATAGTTTCTTTGAAATCTGAGCAGGAGCTACATAAGTGTTGTCTACGTAAATATGTGTTCAATAGTTTCATTGAAATCTGAGCAGAAGCTACATAAGTGTTGTCTACGTAAATATGTGTTCAATAGTTTCTTTGAAATCTGAGCAAAAGCTACATAAGTGTTGTCTACGTAAATATGTGTTAAATAGTGTCTTTGAAATCTGAGCAGGAGCTACATAAGTGTTGTCTACGTAAATATGTGTTCAATAGTTTCATTGAAATCTGAGCAGGAGCTACATAAGTGTTGTCTACGTAAATATGTGTTCAATAGTGTCTTTGAAATCTGAGCAGGAGCTACATAAGTGTTGTCTACGTAAATATGTGTTCAATAGTTTCTTTGAAATCTGAGCAGGAGCTACATAATTTATAAGTGTTGTCTACGTAAATATGTGTTCAATAGTTTCTTTCAAATCTGAGCTGGAGCTACATAAGTGTTGTCTACGTAAATATGTGTTCAATAGTTTCTTTCAAATCTGAGCAGGAGCAACATAAGTCTTGTCTACGTATCCCATCTTGTGAGGTTTATTCTTTGT